GTGTTCACTATATAAACCCAAAAGGTATACTAACCCTGTAGTTGTAGACAACTCCCCTTCCAGATCTTTGAAGGTAAGTATCTTCTCTGTTTTCCCTTTCTATCCTTTGTACTGAAGCAGTTAACAATCAGTATCCATTATATTGGCAATTAGAGCCACACACAGTAAATCTGTAATTGGCTTCCTTCCAAAAAAATAGTAAACTCTATCCTGGATACCCCTTGAGGGTTCAATTCCAAGGTGTACCTGTGATATAGTTGGCAAATTCACAGGTAACAGTGCAACCTATAATTGTACCTATATCTCTATATAAAATACTTTTTAGCATTCACTGCACTAAACTGCTGATGTGCATGTCGGTACCAAATACAAATTGTAGAGATCTCATTTCTCATGCAGGATGTCTTTTTGAATGTAGAGATCTCATTTCTCATGCAGGTTGTCTCTTTTTTTGAATCTTTTTGAATATGTACTCTGATTGCTTAATTTACCTTGTAGTGTGGAATCCACTTCGCTTAGGTTTTAAATAAAGTTGTACAAACCTGTTAAACCTTGATAACTGCAATGATTTATTTTTTTTCTGGTATTTTGTTATCTTTCAGTATCTGAGAGCAAAGAACTAAATGAGTCGGTTAGAACAGTATTAAAGCAAGAAATGAAGAGGCTTTTTGGAGAAACAAGCCCCACAAATTTTAACAACTCTTTCCTGAAAGAAAATATCAACTCAATACCACATAGATTAGCAGGTACAATTGGGGAATTTGTGGGAATACAAGGGTCCTTCACTGATAGTGATCATACTTGGTAATTATTAAAGAAACCTTATAGTACAGAAGTGGTTGTTTAGGTGTCCAGCACCCCTCTCCGTGAAGTAAAAATGTATTTAAACTTACCTTTTCTCCCTCACCGCGCCTGTCTTGCCCCGGCTGGCCTGCCTCATTGGCTGAGATCATTATTGTTTATAAAGCACCAACAAAATCCGCAGTGCTGTACAATAGAAGAACTAACAGATGAGTTGGACGCACGGCACAGACGTGTTAGGGGGGCGGGGGGCATGCTCAATGAGCTTACATGCATCAATCTTGATGATCTCAGCCAATCCAATGCTTTCCCATTGGGAGGCTGTTGCGCATGCGCAGCACAGCTCTGCATCAATTGTCATATCTTCATTGAGATGCCTTGAATCAGTGTGTGTCTATGGGGAAACAGTGTCTCCATGCAGAGCGTGGAGACACTGAACATAATGTGCAGCAATGACCCAGGACGCAGCTCTAGTGCCCATCTGAGTGACTGCTTTTAGAGGTGTTACTAACCAGCAATGTAAATAGTGCATTTTCTATGAAAAGGCAGCATATCCTTTCCTCAGTCTGCATGGACAGGCTATAGACACCAGAACCACGACATTAAGCGCCACAACATTAGTTTTATATACTCCCACAGTTCATTGTAATGTTCATAGTGCAGTGTTTGTTTGGTTTTGGTTTTTTTAAGTGCATGGACAAGAACAGTGCACAAATGTGGAAGGTTCACTTCTGCATCATCCATCCTAAGCGATCCATTCATGGGCAGCATTGTTGTGCTTTTGGTGCCAGGAGAACTGCTGTTTGTCAAACCACTCAAATGATTAAAAAGGATGTGTCCAAATACACAAATTCATGGCACCATATCACTACAATGACCTATAGTGGTTATGGTAATAAATTCAACTCTTTTAAGGGGTAATTATTTAACTGTTCTTTTATGTCTAAACATGTTGCAATTTTCTTTTTAAAGCTGCCAAAATGATGTACTACATGGATACATCCAGTCAGAAACGAGCAGTAGAGCTGGCTACAGCACTTGATGCAACCTTAAATAATAGAAGTCTCCAGGTAAATGCTTTCTAGGTTTTATTTAATTATTACTATGAATGTTATTTAAATGGTTAGTGGTGTGCATGGCTATGCTTACTTTAAAAATGTGTTGATCTGTTAAACTAAAAGAAAAAGAGCAGGGATGTCTTGACCGCTTTCTAACCATGAAAAATCTGTAAGAATTTGCCTGTTCTTAGAAAAAAATGTGCCATGGAATATTTGACATTTTATTTAAAAAAATAACATTCACTTTGAACACAGTAAGTACCTTCCTGAGCCTAGATTGCAAGTTAGACTTCAGGAAGGAATATGTGCAGTCTGAGTTATTTTGTGACCCAAAAACCGCACATTTACTAGAATAAAACTTATATTGATATGTAGAATGCTTTGTTCTCTGAGATGATCACGTTGCTACCTAATTGTATGTGATATACTTTCACTTTTGCACACACAGATCAGGGCAAATTGGTATTCTTGAAAATTTAGGGGGATTAAAAAAAGGAAATCGTATTAAGCATAATACTTGTTTTGTATCTTGTAGATCTGTACAGACATATTAGAAGCCTTGCGTGATGGCAGCTTAGGAGACTGCAAAGAGGTGGCTGAATCTTACAGAGTGAGCAGCCACAAGCTTTATCCTTATGCTCTGGCATTCATGCCACCTGGATATGAGGAGGACTTCAGCATCACAGTCAATGGAGATAGTTCAGCAGAACCAGAAGAACTGACTAATGAAATGTGAACTTCTAACGAGCGACATTGGACCATATCAACTATCTAATATTTTTGTCACGCACCTGCTGTATCGCTCTGTAACTTGTGTGGCGAATGAAAGGAGTAAAAATATTGTTGCCTTTAACTATTGTTTTACTTTTTTTTATATCCTGCAGAAGACATATGTTGAGTTACTATGCAGTGATTTACAGGATATGGGTGCAACACTTTCTTTAAAAAAAAAATAAAAAAAAAATAAAAATTAAAACAAATTTGCTGCTAAACTTCTTTAAAAAAAAAAAAAAATGGTGTTAGAACTAAACAGAACATAATTCCCGGTTTTTAAACAGAGAGATATAAAGGTTGTTACAGTAGTCAGAGCATGTGTGTGACAGAAATATTACTAACCATTTGTCTTTGAGATTACATATTTTGGACAGCTCACTCCCAACAATATCTGAGGTGCCCGCATGTATCTAGCAGTGCAGACTCCTCTGAGGTTGCAGGGGTTCAAGTTGCTGTTTTAGCACTGGATTTTTTTTTAAAATTTTTTTTATACTGAGCACAATAGATGTTTTGGGCTTTGGCTTCTGTCCCGTCCTGGACATCAGAAGTACTCCACGTGAAATGCAACTAGCAGAGACCTTTTGAAGAAGTGTGATCTTCTGGGTTACAAAATCTGAAATAAGTAAATAATTCAACACAGGGTTTTCACCAGTTACAGTGCCCTGGATTTTTTTTTTTTTTTTAATTAATTCATCATGCTTGTTTAACAGTGTTTTTTTTTTGGTTTTTTTTTGTTAACGATTTTAGAATAACCTATTTGAAACCCAAGAAAATGTTCCTTAATATACTCTAAAACGGAGACCTGTTTCGACTCCCTTTTTTTTGTTTTGCCAAATGTCAGCTGTATTGCAACAACCAAAAGAAATCATGCACTGTGTCTTGACGTTAATTGAAATTGTAGAGGGGGGGGGGAAGGGAGAGAATCTGCCCTGCTTTTATGTAAAAGAAAAAGCAGGTTGTCATTTACGGCTGGGTTTTCAGACGGGAGTGTCTTCCTGTTGGTGTTGTGGACTTTTCAGGACAGTCAAAGCCCTCAGCAGTCCATGTTCGTGTTGTTTATGGAGATAGAAACAAGTAGTGCAGTTAAGATACCTCTGGATTTTTCCATAGTATCACAAGTTTGTAATACTTGAAGCCCTATGTTTCTATGAAGCCAATTCTTGCTCGGTTACTTCAGACAGGCTCCGAACTTTGTAAAAGGGAGCACTTTTTTTATTTATTTTTTTTCTTCCAGTAACAGACCAGCTTTCTTTTCCCTGCAGTTACACGTCTGTGTTTTTTTTTTTTTTGTCAAACATAAGGTACCAAATATAATGCAATAAAACCCTTTAAAAAATATTTGGCTAATTTCAAAAAAACCAAAATGTATTGTGTCTGTCACATTAGGGAACTTTATATTGTATATTTTTTTCCCTCCATTGATTGGCAGTCAGTAAGTTCTTTAAAAATGATTGGTAAAGTGGTTTACTTTTTACCACCAATATTTATTCTTGAATGACTTTTGCTACAAAGATTTAACTAGCCAGACCTGCTTCATCGTATAGTATTAACAAGACATAGTTCTTTGTGTAGGCTACACCCAAAAAGGTAATAGGATTAAAGGTGTCCGCTCTTGGTGTTCAATTTTTTTTTTTTTTCCCAATAAAAAGTTGCAGAGTGCAGCTTTTTCTAGCTTCTTCTGGAACAAGCTTAAAGCCCACAATGATTAGTCCGTTTTGTTTGATTTACGGATTCCCTAGTCAATGTAAGGGTTGAATGTTCTTTAGGTCTACCATTTAACGGTTTTCCTCAGAGGGGTAGGTAACCTTTGGAATGTGTAAATTAAAGGAAAATTCCATCGGTATAAATGCAGTTATGTTCAACGATGGTGTGTGTGTGTGTGTGTGTGTGTATGTATATATATATATATATATATATATATGTATATATATATATATATATATATATATATATATATATATATATATATATATATATAATATTTATTTATATTTCCTGGCGTATAAGATGACTTTTTAACCCTGGAAAATCTTCTCCAAAGTCGGGGGTCGTCTTATACGCCGGGTATAGGGTCTATATGGCTGCCGGGAATGCCCTGCGCCCCCATCGCCAGCCCTTCTAATGCTGCAGCCGCCTGAGCGCTCTATAGAGAGCGCTCAGACGGCTGCCGCACTGCCTCTCTTCTCACCTCCCCTTCCCTCTGCAGAGTGGGTGGCCGAGCTCCTCTTCGTCCTGTCTGTCCGCGGGGAATCCGCGCAGGACAGGAGATTCAGTTACCTGTTCCCGGCTGGACTAAAAGTAAGTGCACAGGGAAGGGGAGGTGAGAAGAATGTAGGGAGGATTGGGGGGTGGGGAGAGTAAAAAGAATGGTGAGTATGCCATGAATCTGTCAAGACTGCAGTGGCGAGTAAAGTTGTTTGGCCCTGTTCAAAACTTATAATAATTACTCCTATGCATGCCAAGATTGAAGGTAGGAAAAAAAATAATGGATTCCAATTAAACCATTTTGAAATAATCCTCACTTCACAATAGCAAATTCTTAATACATTTTAAACAGTCAAGCTCTGGTGGTGTTTATTTCCCTTCTGTGAAAATAAGTGATTACAGAAGTGGCATCATCTGCATATGACATACACCTTTTTAGGCTTAGAATTGGACATTAATTGGAACAATCGTTCTGAAGATAACCGTACGGAAATGGTTCCTAATGCTGCTTTTTAGAAACAGAGTAAATCTTAACCTTTTGTGGTGTTTTCCAGCACAGTCTTTAATCATAAATACTAAACTGCTATTTTGTGGAGGTGTGCAGTTGGGCATGATGGCCTCCCGATTTAAGGCAATGGTGTGACCGCTCTAGAAATTATTTTAAGACTCCAGTGCAAAAACAGATGCTATGATATAAGACTAGACTTTTGAACTTGTGTTGGTCTATGCAAAGTTGTTCGTGTCAAATCAACTGTACTAGTTTTAGAATGAAGGCTTTCATACTCAGTCCTATAAGAATGTGCCTTGCCTGCCATGGCATCTTTCAAGTTACCACCTCTACTGAGAATTGTGAACATTCATAATAAGAACCAAAATACAATCCATGGGCGTCATTGTGTAGATGCTCACAGAATACATTAAATGCTCCATTCATAATATGGACTGATGGTCCTGAAGTCGTCGGTGAAAATACAATAGCTTCATTACAAGATGGATTAAAGGGATACTATAGTCACGAGATGCAGTGTCCCTGTCTTTTTAACCCTTCAATGTTTAGTATGCTGGGGTAAGTTCCCCTATAGTGGCTGTCAGTATGACAGTCACTAGAGACGGTTTTGCTGAATTGACGAAGTAAAACTCAGTCATGTGAGGCAGAAGACCCATAGGGAAGCATTGATAGGTAAGCTTTACTACGGGGAGTTTTTAATACATGCATTGCATGCCCCCAGTGCTCATTTTAGGAGATGGACAGGTATGCAGCGCGGAAGGATAGTAAATAAAAAATGTAGTGCACCTGGGGAAGGGACACATACTGCTGTTAGGAATACAGATTTATATTCCTAATGGTATAGTGTTCTTTTAAACAGACTTTGTCTGTGCTAGCCATGTATTATACTCTCTGGCCTTTATTATCTTTTGGTTACCATTCATATAAATTCATTATTTCCCACAGTTTTAAATGCTTGTATTCTTATGTATCCAAGACAATACTTAAATAGTAATTCGATATCTGATGTGTATCACCTTCAAAGAGTTGTACTTTAAATACAAATTATAATGAGTAGAAAACTGAAATGCAAAACTTGCTAAAAAGTGCTGATTAGGAAAAATGGTCCAGTTTGATCATAGTCACCAGTTTGGCTATTTCATACCTTCCAGCCCCGGTGTTCCTAGAAGTGGGATGCTGGTTGGAGAAGGGTAAAGGGGTCACTGGCTACGCCACAAAAGGGGGAAGAACCGCCTGGAAAGGGGCGGATCAACCAAATTACTGGCATGCATGCATGTCCGGCTGCCTGCCAATCGTAAAGGCCACTGAGGGCAGACCCTGCAGGAAGCAATGTTTCAGTACTCTATGCAGGGTCCTAGTGCCCATAGATCAGTCCATGGTATCGGGACTGTCCCGCCAAAATTGGGACAGTTGGGAGCCCTACTATTTTTACCTAAATGTTGCAGTATAGTTGCCCATTTACTACAGTTCTGTGTTTATGAAGAAATACCAATCTGTGTTGCATATCTTGCTTATAGCAAAGCTGTCATAGAAATTAAACTTTGGTGTAATCAAGACCGTCTTAACATAATTCTAGATAGTTTTGTTTTTTTAAACAATATTTAATATATAGTATTTATGAGCAGAATACATACTTGCAAAATGACTTTACACCAACTTTAAGGACATAATCCTGGTTTGAGTATTTGTATCTTACTAGGTGTGTGTGTGTATATATATATATATATATATAAAACTTGTTATAAACGGTATTAAATGTTCCTGGTTATTTGTTATTGTTAGAATAAACCACCAATGTTTAATTATGCTAAATTAACCTATACCAGAATTAGATTTTGCTACTGAGGAAAGTGTGTTCCAAATTCAAATAAGTTGTAATGAATTCTGGAAAGTCCCTTTTTTGAATAATTTCCAGAAATAAATCAGCTGCTGACTGAAGTCTTTGTTTCTCCCTAGAAAGAGGAAAACGGAAGTTGTTACACATAGCATTTTCATGTCACGATTAAAAAAAAAATTAAACTAGTTACATAAAAACTGTAGTGTCATTCACATTTTTCATAAAATCATTACATTGTAAATATAAATACCTTATGGACAAAGGTTTTTTTTTTCCCCCAATTCATTTAGTGTATTACCATATTTTGGTGTGAAGGACACCCTAAAGTGCACCCCTCCCAACATTTCAAATGGACAGAAAAGGACTCTTTCATTGTAGGGAAGTGCATGGCCAGAGGTGAGCTGTTTCGTTGACTTTCTAATAACAATCTACAGAACTAGAACCAAAACACATCTTATTTACACAGACTGATTTCTAAAAGACACATTACAGGGAGTATTACTGCTGTGACTCTGATATAAATTCAGGCACACCAAGAATACAGAGTTCCTAGACCGTAGGGACTGTCCTTCCTAAATAGGGACACTTGTGAGGTATGAAAGTGGGTAGTGGTGGAACCAGTGCATGTCCCCACACCAATACATCACATGCACAAGGGAAGAAATAGATTTAGGCATAAAATAACAATAGAATAATGAATTTCAAGCATAACAACAACCAATGAGGAGATATAATTAGCATGTTGCATGTGGAAAAACCGTGCAACAATATTTTCAAACATATATGTTTATGTAATACTGATGTGTGAAAGTCTAAGATAAACTGAGCCGCAAGATAATTGTCAGTTTTGTATCTTCTTCTCCGCTTACAACGAGTCGCTCCCTACTGACAATGCTTATCTCTGACGAGGTCTTTATGCTGACATAAAGGTGCAAATGGTAGAGCGTATATCAGTGATTGACAGGGAGCAGAAATTCAGCCAATTAGTTCTAGGATAGGAGTTAAAGCAGATCTGTTACTTTTTGTTTCTATTTCCTCTTGCTTTTATTTAGTTAGTTATTTTTTAACTCATCCTAGTGTTTTTTTTTTTAGTTATACATAAGATAAAGTAAAGACTAATTTGTTTAGCAGCCAAGAAGAAATAAATCAATGTGTCGGAAATGTAGACAAGCACTCGAGCCAAATTGCCGAGTACTCTGACATGGGGGTCCCACATTCATGCAGATATAACATTATTTGTAAAGTTTGTCACACCACTGAACTTGAAATTTAGGACTAGGCAATTATATTATGGTTAGATTGTCACAACATAGATATGGCTATAGAAAGGGTTTTACAATCACAGAGAACTTGCATATCAGATACATTAGCATCTTTGTCTATAGACACTCCATGCAGAACTATCCGCCAAAGGAAAGTGGCTCTATATTATTATTATTATTATTGCCATTTATATAGCGCCAACGGATTCCGTAGCGCTTTACAATATTTTGAGAGGGGGGGTGTAACAATAAATAGGACAATTACAAGAAAACTTACAGGAACAATAGGTTGAAGAGGACCCTGCTCAAACGAGCTTACAGACTATTGGAGGTGGGGTGTTTGAAACATTAGGACAATAAATATCAAGTAGGAGTGAAGCAGAGCTGGAGGAGAGAGCAAAGCACTGTCCCATAGGAGAGAGCAGGAGACAGGTATGTAAGGTAGAGATTACTCTGGGAGGCCATAAGCTTTCCTGAAGAGATGAGTTTTAAGGCCCTTCTTAAATGATTGAAGACTAGGGGAGAGTCTGATGGCAGTAGGCAAGCTATTCCATAGGAGAGGAGCCGCCTGCGAGAGGTCCTGCAAGCGCGAGTTGGCCGTACGGGTGCGAGCAGCGGTCAGGAGGTGGTCACGGGCAGAGCGGAGGTTACGTGGAGAGGCATATTTATGGATCAGTGAAGAGATATAAGCGGGGCTAGAACTGTTCAGTGCTTTAAATGTATGGGTTAGCACTTTGAATTGACTCCTATAGCATACAGGGAGCCAATGTAAGGACCGGCAGAGGGGTGAGGTGTGAGAGGACCGACTAGAGAGGAAAATCAGTCTAGCTGCAGCATTCATTACAGACTGTAGCGAGGCAATACGGCTTTTGGGAAGACCAATCAGGAGAGGGTTACAGTAATCCATGTGGGAAATTACTAGAGCATGGACAAGCTCCTTGGTAGCATCTTGCGTAAGAAAGGGGCAAATGCGGGCTATGTTTTTGAGTTGGAACCTACAGGACTTGGCAACAAACTGGATGTGAGACTCGAAGGTGAGACCAGAGTCAAGTATGACGCCAAGACAGCGCGCTTGCAGGGATGGACTTATGTGGATATCACTGACTTGAAGGGAGAGCGAGAGAAGAGGATCAGTATTAGGAGGAGGAAAGACAAGGAGTTCAGTTTTAGAGAGGTTAAGTTTCAGAAAGCGTGAGGACATCCAGTCAGAGATGGAAGAAAGGCAAGCAGTGACACGTTGCAGGACGGCAGGGGAGAGGTCCGGGGAGGAGAGGTATATCTGAGTGTCATCAGCGTACAGGTGGTAGTGGAATCCAAAAGAGGCAATCAGTTTACCAAGAGAGGCGGTATAAAGAGAAAATAGAAGGGGACCAAGGACAGACCCTTGGGGAACTCCAACCGAGACAGGACGAGTGGAGGAGGTATCCTTGGAAAAGGAGACACTGAATGAGCGTTGGGAGAGATAGGAGGAAAACCAAGAGAGGACCGAGTCACAGAGACCGAGCGATTGAAGAGTTTGAAGGAGGAGAGCATGATCAACGGTGTCAAAGGCAGCAGAGAGGTCAAGGAGAATTAATATGGAGTAATGACCTTTGGATTTAGCGGAGATTAGGTCATTAGTCACTTTGATAAGAGCAGTCTCAGTAGAGTGGAGAGGGAGGAAGCCAGACTGAAGAGGGTCAAGGAGAGAGTTGGAATTAAGGAAGCGGGACACACGGGTAAAGACAAGCCTTTCCAAAAGCTTTGATGAGAAAGGGAGCAGGGATATGGGACGATAGTTAGAAGGGGAGGATGGGTCAAGAGATGGTTTTTTCAGGATAGGTATTACAGTGGCATGTTTAAGGTCAGCAGGAACAGTGCCAGAAGAGAGAGAGCAGTTAAAGATGTGTGTTAGGGTAGGCACAAGACAAGGGGAGAGAGATCTGATGAGGTGAGATGGGACAGGATCGAGCGGGCAAGTGGTGGGGCGAGAGGAATGGAGAAGCGCAGCCACCTCTTGTTCAGTAGCTGGGTAGAAAGTCTGGAGGGTAGGGAAAGCAAGATTTACATGTGGTTGAGAAAGAGAACGGCATGGAGGGGAGAATTGTTTCCTTAGCTGTTCAATCTTGTCGGTAAAGTAGCATGCAAAGCTATCAGCTGTAAGGTTAGTTTGGGGGGTGGCCACAGCAGGGCGGAGAAGGGAATTAAAGGTGTCAAAGAGGCGTCTGGGATTGTGGGAGCATGAACTAATGAGAGAGGAAAAGTATGACTGTTTGGCGAGGGCGAGGGCTGCGCTGTATGAAAGCAACATGAATCTATAATGGAGAAAGTCTGCCTGGGTGCGGGACTTCCTCCAGGAGCGTTCAGCACAACGGGAGCAACTCTGCAGATAGCGTGTTGATTTATTATGCCAAGGTTGGGGTCGTGTTCTCCTCGAGGTGCATGTTTTGAGTGGGGCTGCAGCGTTCAAGGCAGATGTGAGGGTAGTGTTATATGTGGAGATGGCCAGTGAGGGACAGGAGAGGGAAGGGATGGATAGCAGTTGTGAATCAATGTCAGCTGACAGCTGCTTGAGGTCAATAGAGTTAAGGTTCCTCCTGAGCTGAGGGGGGTTAGGCTGAGATTGTTGGGTGAGGGGGTAATTGAGAGCAAATGATAAGAGGTGGTGATCAGAGAGAGGAAATGGGGTGTTGCAGATATTAGATATTGTACATGAAGAAGAGAAAATAAGGTCGAGGGTATTGCCAGCTACATGAGTGGGAGAATTAGCCCACTGCAAAAGTCCAAGGGAGGAAGTGATTGAAAGTAGTTTAGAGGCTGCTGGGGTCAAAGGTGGGTTAACGGGAATATTGAAGTCTCCAAGAATTAGGGATGGGATGTTGGAAGAGAGGAAGTAGGGTAGCCAGGCAGCAAAGTGGTCAAGGAAGAGGAGAGGGGAACCAGGGGGACGATAGAATAAGGTCGAGGGTATTGCCAGCTACATGAGTGGGAGAATTAGCCCACTGCTATATCACATGTCCACCTATAATGCAAGGTTCACAAGAACAGTGCATAGAATGTATGTCCATAGGAAATGGTGACAATGTAGGGAAGGCTCTGGACATATGAGGACACATGGCTTTTTAAAGCAGATGTCGTGTTTTAGCTCAGCAATCAAATAATTCCATTACATGGACAATTTCTGCAGGTATTTTGGAAATCTGGATTCCTTACTAAGACAGCAGATTCCTTATAAATATTTATGTGCAACTGACTATATTTTGTCACACCTATATAATGTTCTAATTTTTTTCTGAATAGCACTCAAGGTACAGAATTTACAGTATGAAAATGTTTTAAATGCAGATTTTCCATATAGACTTAATTTCCAGGACAATTCCAAGAATAGTTCAAATTCATGTAGATGTTCTTCACTCAAATTTTTAATTTTAGAACAAAATATCTGCAATTGGTAGAATTCGCCAACTCATCTATTTTTACATTTTTGGATTAAAATGTGACATTCCCTGGTCGGTTCACACCAATTTCCAGTTTAATGGATCACCCTGTTTGTTAGAGATTTGTGACAGACTACTAACCTCTCAGAAGCATGTGTCATGTTAGTGAGCTGCAGTACAACCTCTTTAACTAATTCGTGGACCAGGCTCCTTGTGACTGTTCTGCTGTCATCTTCTAACTTGACCCGATGCCTCACCCACTGCCAGACCTATGTTAAAAATGTAAATACTGTTAAAAACTTCTTGCAGATCTGTAAGCATCATGGTACAATTAGTAGTTTAATAAGAAAACTAACCATTAGAATATCTCAAGGTTCAGGGTTATACGACCTATGTGCCATTTGTCTTTGCGCCATTGGGGAGTCTTCAGGTGGCTAGCTAATATCAGTTCTGTGCAAATTTACTCAGACATTACGCAGTCATAAACTCATTAGCTGGGATGGCTTAGCTGGCGCTTAGTCAGTGGAAGAGCGGCAGGATTGACATCCGTCTTGTACAGCTCTGCAGAAGCTGACTGTCACAAATCCTGCTTCACAGGAGACCAGTTGCCTGGAAGGACGACCAGGTATGAGGGCAAACTACCATTATAAAGTACTCCTGTAACACCTCCCAGCTGTCAAGCAGAGACACAGGAGTTTTTTCTGTCTTGCTCACTTTGGACTGTAGTTAAAAACAGAATTGAATGCTTCTCACTCTCCCCTTAAAGCACCTAATTTCAGTACCTGCACTCCCTTATTATCCGAGCATGATGCCATCTGTAACCGAGCCCTCCTATACCTCTCCATCCACGCCAACATTGTCTTAATTTTATCACATCATACCTTGCAGCACCCCCTTTTTCATTGCTAGGTACTCTCTTTGTATCAGTCTGTTGCTCGTGCCATTCCATTCTTTGCTTTCCCAGCAGATTTTGGTTGTCATAAAGACAAGATACATTTTATTTCCCCTTTTCTCTTCTGCCTCCTCTCATTACGTCTTATCCTCTTCTCCATATTCACCCCTCTGATCCACATATTCCCCCATATATACCTTCCTGAATACTCTGCTATTCGGTATTTACTATAGAGTCCATGGTGAATTCATCAGATGTGTAGAAATGTGTGTAAAAACATTGGCAAATGCGTACTTCTAAAATAAATATACATATGCACTTAATATGCTGTGTCTGGATATGCATGCATATATTTCCACATGCACACATTAATAACCGTCCACTCCTGCACATTCACTACTAACATCTAACATGGGCACCCATGACCGGGTGTCCTTCTATGTACCACTTTTGGTAGGTACTAACCACTGCATACCAGGAACACCCCACAAGACTTTTGAGAAGCTCTGACCCAGTCATCTAGCCATGACTATTTGGTCCTTGTCAAAGTGACTCAGGTCTTTGTGCTTGCCCATCTTTTCTGCTTCCAACACATGAAATTTAAGACCTGACTGTTCACTTGCTGCTTAATAAGCCTTTGACAAGTGCCATTGTAACAATACAATCAATGTTATGCACTTCACCTGTCAGTGGTTTTAATGTTGTGACTGATTAGTGTATAGAATATGTATGGGTGCACTTAAATTATAGTGAAACCTTCACGTACCAAATGAGCCAAAAAAGAGCTCGGTCACAAACGGACAGAATCTCAGAAAACATCAGATATGAATTTACAGACTTGTATACAGTACTTAAAGGACCACTATAGTGCCCTGAGCTCTCCTCCTCCTCTCCTCCTCTTCGGCTGAATGCGCATGCGCGGCAGGAGCGGCGTGCGCATTCAGGCAGTCTCATGGGAAAGCATTTATAATGCTTTCCTATGGACGCTTGCGTCTTCTCACTGTGATTTTCACAGTGAGAAGCACGCAAACGCCTCTAGCGGCTGTCAATGAGACAGCCACTAGAGGCTTTAGAGGCTGGATTAACCTATTTATAAACATAGCAGTTTCCCTGAAACTGCTATGTTTATATAAAAAAATAAAAATAAAAAAAAAGGGTTAATCCTAGAGGGACCTGGCACCTAGACCACTTCATTAAGCTAAAGTGGTCTGGGTGCCTAGAGTGGTCCTTTAACGTGGAATTGTTCACAGCGTTTATAATGGATAACATTCAGGAATTCATTGTGAACAACAATGTCAGTAGTAATCAACATTTAATGAAAGACAGATCATATTAAGTTAATTTAATTTCTTTCTCTACAGAAAGCAACAGAAGTATAGATCAGGTTAGATATCAGGTTATACTTCCAAACAAATGGTTACTGAACAAATTAAAAGCAATTTGTACAACATTTCAAATGCACCATTTTAACCCCGTAAGGACCAAACTTCTGGAATAAAAGGGAATCATGACATGTCACACATGTCATGTGTTCTTAAGGGGTTAAATGCATACCAGACTGTCCTATTTAATGAGAAAATAGTATCTATGTATCATTATAAGGATGGAAATCCTTTACTCACACTAAGTGTGGACTCGAGTTGAGGGCTCATCACATGAAGAACCTTTGGGTAAGTGTTACCAGTTATTGATTTGTCATACTCTACCTGAGATCTAGATATTTCTGCAGTTGCTGAATCCTCCACTTTCCCGCAATAAAAGAAGTGTCCTTCTCCTAAACATAAGAACAGAGTATGTTTGATGTTCCATATGTAGGAACTTATCTACACACACACAACAAACTACATGACAAATTGCCATAATTCCAAGAAAGCTATGTACATTTTATAGATAAATAGTAGGGATCGAACGATATTAATTTTTTTAGAGCCGATACCGATAATCTGTGAACTTTCGGGCTGATAGCCGATAACTTACTGAAATTCTGTACATTTACCATTTTGAAAAAAGAAACCACGGTCCACTCCGCTCGGCCATGCTACACAAATTGACTGGTAGGGGAAGTGCTGTGGGCTTTCTCACTCGATTCTTGCGCACTAATGTGGCCGTGTGTTCCGCCTTATGGATGCGCCAGCCCTGCATGCGCTGGGCCATTGACGCCTCTCACATTATCGTTAATATCGGTACCAATAGTGGCAGATACTGATATTTCCAAAATCCAGAATATCAGACGATATCGGTCAAACTGATAATCAGTCTATCCCTAATAAATATATATATATGTATGAATCAGCTGACACTCTCAGCCAATACATTCCATGAAGATTAGGATGAAACTGATACATCTAGAGTGGAAGAGGATAGGGGAACTTTCAGTTTAGTTGTAACTGAAGAAAGTCCAGATAGATGGCTAGGGAACAAAGTGCATGTCAAATCATTAAAAAATGGTTTGACTGCTTAACATGGGACCAAAGTCACTATGGCACACTGTAAGGGTTATGCTGCTTAGACTGCACCATTTAAAGGGAACATATTGTCGCAAAAACAATATAAAACAATATAGTCCTTAACAATTGTTATTTTGAGACTATAAATACCCTTCTGACCCCTCTGCATTAAAAAAATATAGTTTAATAAAGACTACTTGTTTCCAGTTACCTTTGTTTCCAGCACCGGGACTCCTCTGCTGCAGCTGCCCGCTCCGTCTCCAGAGATGTCAGTCTCCATGATGACATCACCCACAATCTCCTCAATCCATTTCTTCTCAGTGAGAAGCAATTAATTGAACTAGGCATCACAGGCAAACAGCTTTTCTGCAATCAAATTTCTGCTGTCTGGACTAGGAAGAGACTCTTGTGGCAGTCAGAAAGACATCCAGTACAGGTGGAGTTAACCCTTCCATGTAAACACTGCAGTGTCTACAAAACGGTAATGTTTTACATTGAAGTGTCAAAATGACAGGACCACTGCACCCATTGGGGTGAAGTGTTCTGGGTGACTATAGTCACCTGAACAACTTCCGCTTAATGAGGTTGTTCAGGTGAGAACTATAGCTCCCTGCAGCCTTTCTCATGTAAACACTGTATTTTCTGAGAAAATACAGTGTTTACATTGAAAGCTAGGAACACCTCCAGTTGCAATCACTCAGAGTGAACCAGAGGGACTTCGGAGTTGATGGAGGCATAATATGCCTCCATCCACTCAGATCTGCTGTCAGCAGAGCACTGTGCACAGCATCCTGTGATTCAGTATCTGAACTTTCCTCATAGAGATTCATTGATTCTATTCATCTCTATGAGGAGATGCTAATTGGCCAGGGCTGTGTTTGAATCATGCTGGCTCTGCCCCTGATCTGCCTCTTTGTCAGTCTCAGCCAATCCTATGGGGAAGCACTGTGATTGGATCAGGCTACCACATGTCAGCAGACTGCTTGTTTTTCTGAGTCTAACAGCATGCAGATTGTCAGGGTATTTATATCGGCAGACATTTTGTGCTATGATAGAAACTAAAAGTGTATATTCTGAGTCACTCTGAACAGACCAGACTCCATTTTGTTATTTTCAAGTTAACAAAAAGACACAAGATTTCATTCTGTAAAACTAACCACTTTGCCAGAGCTAAAGGAATGCATAATATAAACAAGTGATAAGGAGAAGGGGGTTGGATAGACTGTCTAAAATGCTAATGGAATATAATCAATTCTAAACCCAGACATTTATGACAGAGAAGATTAAATAATTTAATTTTACTGTCTATATATATATAAGGTACCATTGTACGGAAAAGGTTAAACTTAGTTCATGATCTGCCATTTTAGAAATTATAGCAGGAATTGCAGACACTAAGTCTGAACAAAACTAAGAGAAAACCCTTTGAAATTTTAAGTTATGGCACTATAAAGATAACGCAAAATGACGTCAAAATAGCCACCAGGAAAAGTTAACTCTTTCCTGGATAGGTATGTTTAGTGGGACAAGACTGCCCTCTATAGACCAAATAACTAAATTGCGATCTGGAAGATAACCACACCTCTAGTGCTTCTATTGGGTTATCAACTGATGACGTACAGAGAGTCTGGCCCTTTAAAAGTTAAGACAAAGGGAAGATAGAGAAATGCAAAGGAGAAGGAAAAAGAGAGAGGAGGAATTGGAAGTTTGGGGACTCCAACTCGGACATGCAGAGAAACCCAGGACAACATCTGAGACTAACACTCTACTCTTAAAACTCTAACACTTAGAATTTTACTGACTTTCTAACCAACACCACCTTTCACCATAACTCATGCACCTACAGACATCCAAATAAGCTCCTGAGACTATCTACCAATCGGATGAAATATCTACTCAACTGGTAATTAAACTGGTTTCATTTAATTAATTAAAATGTATTAATAGCATTATATATGACTGGATAAAGCACGGTCAGATTTCCATATTAAGAAATCTTAGTTAACTAAAGAATATATAGTTATAAACATTCCATTCTGCAGGTGGAATTAAGAATAATTATATATTGATGTGATATTATCACGTGGTAGCATACCGTTGTTTTTATCCAGGTGTATTGATTTGCTCTAATATAAGATAGATATCTTTTAGACAAATTAAAATCTGCTTATATAATATGGTAGATTCTCTTATTGGATGGTTCCAGGAAATGACTAATGAACTGGTTTAAATGTTATTTTATTTAAAATTACATAAGAATAGATCTTAATTACCTAGGAGATCTAGCCAGCATTGAAAGGGTTATTCTAATTGTTAGCCAGGGTTTTATGGCCCTTTGCTGTGAAAAGTTTCACTTTCAGTCTGTGTTAAAGATACCTCATAAATCAGAAGGCTTGACAGAAAATGCTGTTTAGCCATTGAAATGTGTATAGCCATTCCTTTGTATTGCATACCATTTTATACTGGATATTCATTGATTATTGTCACGCATGTTACATATTATTATTAATTAAATTGTCATTATAAAATAAAATCTATTTTTAATAACAAAATTGTGATATTATTTATATGAAATACTTCTCACTTAACACGATAAACGTTCTTTGGGATCTGAGAATTGAATTAGTGGGCAATTCTCAACTGTTTACTATTTTATGGCCCTTCGCTGTGAAAAGTTTCACTTTCAGTCTGTGTTAAAGATACCTCATAAATCAGAAGGCTTGACAGAAAATGCTGTTTAGCCATTGAAATGTGTATAGCCATTCCTTTGTATTGCATACCATTTTATACTGGATATTCATTGATTATTGTCACGCATGTTACATATTATTATTAATTAAATTGTCATTATAAAATAAAATCTATTTTTAATAACAAAATTGTGATATTATTTATATGAAATACTTCTCACTTAACACGATAAACGTTCTTTGGGATCTGAGAATTGAATTAGTGGGCAATTCTCAACTAATTATCCCATAAATATCCCCACAAGATTTACAGCTTCAGGCTTCAATACAGTAAGATTTTTACTATGTTTATGGAGGCATGCGGGGCCCAGGGGGCTAGATTATGGTGTTCATACTATAGGGTCAGGAATACATTTTTGTTTTTCTGAACCTATAGTGATCCTTTAAGTTTGATGCACATGAAATGAATGTAAAAAGTGATAGCTACATTATTAAATTTGTGGATGTATTGCTAAATATAATTGCAAAATTATACTACATTTGCAAAAGTAAACTACATTAACTAAGATGCAACCACTTGGTAAAAATGTGGATAGCTATGTACAGATCTTTATTTAGCAGGTAAGAAAAACTTAGCTATTTCTCCTTTTTGCTCGATTTTCTGTTAGATGCTAAAGATTCTATCACTAATTCTACAATTAGCAGTGTACTAAGCAGGGGATAGGTGGGGGGCTGCCCGCCCCTATTGCCACTAAAGGAGGGGTGCCCAGGGGTTGCGATCTCCCGGTGACCAGCAAGAGGGGAGCGTACAACACAGCCAAATGCTCTAGGTACACCCTGTCTAAAATACACTGTACTCAGGTAAGAGCATATGGTGCCAAATACATAAATAGGTTCAGTTTAAAAAAATTTTTTAAAAAAGGACTAAAATGACAGGAAAACTCATCACCACCTATTTCAAAAAAGCTTACCTAAGTCAAGCTAAGAAGTAGAAACCCTATCAATATATATATACCATGTGCATTATTTGTGCATTTGTTTTTTATTGAGTTAAAATACAACATGAACAGTTTTAAAATGAACAAGATACTTAAACAATTCAGTGCATTTTCCTGTTTATTTCATCATCAAAATATCATCATATCATCATATATTGGCATTTGGCTGTGATTTTTTAAGCTATTCTACTTAGAAGATTGCCAGAGATATTTACCAAAGTAAAAACTCAAAGTGAACCAGAGTAGCCAAACTGACAGCATAGATCATGTAAGAGAATTCTTTCAGTTCAGATATTTGAGCTTCAATTGAAATGAACATTTAATTCTTACTTTAGTAGATAACCCTGTCAATCTATTACCAGAAAAAAAAAAAAAAATACTTATTCTTATTATATTTCATAGAAAGATTATGTTGCTAATGAAAGACCACCCCTTACCTTTCAGCCACGCTTCAATGAACTGAATGCCAACTGCGATATTATATTTCAGACCATGCAGGGTGACACCTCCCTAACAAGGACAAACAAAATAAATTTCAAAACCAAGACAGCTTAGTTTAGGCATTAGTGCTATCTACATACAAAATATGTATTGAACATGGTTAAATAAGCCTAAAACTAATACAAATGTTGTTTGCAAATCTGTGAAAATCCCATCCTTAAAAAGACACCCCGTGTTTTATACAAATTTACTGAATAAATGCAGCTAAATTAAAATAAAAACAATATATCTCCATTAAAGGGACACTCTGCTGAAGTGCTTCATGTGTCAGGAGCATCCCATCCTAACTCATCCTAACCAGTTAATAAAAGTGCAGGATTCTATATGAAATTGTTTTATAAGTAATTGCAGAAGCACCTCCCTGGCTGTCAGTCAGACAACTGGGGAGATTTCTTCATCATTCCAATAACTACACAGAGCTAGCAGAAGTGGTATACATGCTTTGTGCGAGAATGCCTGCCTTGTGCCTCCAGTAACATTATGCATGACAGCACCTGTCTACAAATATATTTGCCCAAGAGACTGACTTTAAAATCAGAGGCTATGCAATGAATTGATTGGTCACTTCCCTGAAGTGTGTTTCGGGGAAACAGGTCCCCCCTTATTTTACGCGATTGGGCTGCCTAGTCACTAGTAGTTTTAAATGACAGCGAGCAGCCACTGGCGACATGCCCCTACTCGCGGCATACCACAAGAAGGGGCAGGCAGGAGGATTTAACCTCCCTTTTTTCAATATGAAGGTCATAGTGATCCCCATAGGTTTTAATGCAGGGGTGGGGGGGAGGGGGCTTATTTATTACAAGGAGGGAGCTGGTAGCACTGCCAGCTCCATCCTTGTTTAGCTTTATCGCGCATGCGCACTGTTATTTCTCAGTGCTGTGGGGGTTAATTACCCTGCAGTACGGAGTCAATTAAACAAACAAAACTAAACGTAAAGGTAATGCATTTGGCATTTGCCCTTTTGTTTCGTTTATATTTAGTTTGTAGGGCTTCCGTTTACATTTTTGGAAGCGAATACGAAAAAAACACGAATTATGGGACAAAATCATATTCGTACGAAAACTAATGCACATGTCTAGTATCAATAAACATTTGTATATCCCTACAGAGTGCCGAATGAATCTAATATCCTCTCTCATGTGTAATTTTGCTAGTAAGTATATTCTCTATTTTTTTACATTTCTTTTCAAATAATTTTTATTGAAAGATTTTGAAGATTTTACCTGTAATAAAAAAACAATATATTAGGGGAGGGGAAGGGAAGGGAAAACTTGGAAGTGGGAAAAAGGGGGTATCCATCCATTATAACGGTAAGTATGTTAATGTACAAGGCATTTAAGTTGAAAAACATTCCATAACAAGTTATTAAAGGTTATATGTTTTTTTGACATCGGTTTCCCATTGATCTCAGTGGTATTTCAACTGTGCAAATATATGTGTGTTATTTCTATGTGATAATTTGTATGATTTGTTTTCTAGTGTTAGTGTTAGTACTTCTTTAACTGAGGGTGTGTTTTTCCTGGCACTATAGTGGTCCTTTAATAGTCGCCTCAGACGGCTGGTTGAGATTTACATCAGATTTCAAATTATAAAGTACACTATAATATTTGGCGAATTGGTCACTAATCTTATTCGGTGGAATGTTTTTTGTCCCTGGTCATCTATTAAGTACGCAATTTTAGAATGGGCATTCACCTGCCGGAGTTTGGACGCCAGGAGAGTTGAGGCCTTGTTACCCTTTAAATAAAACACTTTCTTGAGGCGTCTCACCATGAGAGTAGTTCAATACAAATTTATTTTGTGAATTTTTGATTTAATCTCCCCTATCATTGCTGACAAGGAGGAAGATGGGCCGAATTTATTTGCCTGATTAAGGTTGTACAGTTCTTTTTCCAGATTTCTTAATTACTGTTTGTGACGAAGTGCCCTTCGCCACTTGTGCCTGGAGGGGACTACTGGCTAGCCTCCTGCCTTCCGACTATGGCCCATGTGCTGATAGCTGTATTTTTCCCTGCAGAAAGGTTTATTTGTGTATTTCTGCCGGGGCGTTCTGGACTTTCAGTATGGTAGTAGTGCTATCCCAGATAGCTATGCCATGGAGCCTATTTGTGTAACAAAAGACTATGGAAAAGACTTTGGCTCCATGGCGATTGAACTGTATGTATGTGATCTGAGCGCTATTTCATAATAATGTGCGCTCAGATCTAAGCTATCTGGGGATATGTTGCATGTATATGTTTTATGTAGTAATTGTAACATTGTGTAATTTTATGTCTTTTTGCAACCATGTGTTCAATTGAGTTCTTCCTCTGTCCTTGGAGATAATTGTATTACTTCCCAATTGTCTCCAGGATAGAAGACTCTGTGGAACTGGTTTTGGGCAGAAAAGCCATGCTTCATTGGTCACAAAGGACTTCCGACTAACTTTTGAACTAATGGAAGGATTTGCATGATTTTTGGTTATGTTTATATTTAAAGTATGCTGATTCTGAATATGTGTGTTTTATGTGAATATGATGCATATTTTTAAAGTTACAGTATATGTGTAAAAAGTGTATTTTTCCTGCCTGTGATAAATTACATTAACCCATTGTGTTCAGTAATTATATCACAAGCAGAGGGGAGGGATTGTATGTTGGTGCTGGGTGTGTTTTACGGTTTTCCTGTAAACGATTGGTTGTACTGTGTCCCACCCTGTGGGATGTCCCCTTGCATGGGGACTTGCATAAAAGCCATTGTGTGGTCATTAAAATCAGATCATCTTGTACCTTTCTTGAAGCCTTGGCTCATGTTTGGGGAATTGGAGAACTACACTCTGGGGATTGCTATAATCACTATACTCCCCAGAGTATAATCGCTAAGCTCTGCTAAGAGCTTGTTCCTGTTCCTGCTCTCTGGGGAAAGAGAGGTTCACCCACTGGAAGCTGGATCCTGGCCTTGGGTCCAGGGTGGGTGGAGACAGCGAGACCCCGGCGCAGCTGCATTGCTGGAAGTGGGGTCTGCAGTGCTGATGGTGTCGGTTGGAGTGCTTGGAGTCCTCAGCGAGCACTAGGAGGTACGATTGGCGGAGTGCCAGCAGTCCGTCACACCATTATTTTTCTTATTCAAGTGAGACGCCCTAGAAATGAAATGGCCTCTCAACACAGCCTTGTGCGCATGCCATGTCACCTCACTAGGAACCTCATGCAAAACATTTTCCAAAAAATAGTCATTCAGTATCCCTTCAGCTAGCGATCTATTTTCAGGATCATCTAATAAGTAATCACTCAGTTTCCAGTGCCTATTGGGGGAGAAAGAAACCATTTCGTCTATATGCAAAGTTATGGGAGCATGGTCAGACCAATTGATATCTAAAATATCAGATCTTGAGATGTGTGGTATGAGAGCACCCTGTATCAGAAACCTGTCCAGCCTGGAATACATGTTCTTGGATACTGAGTAAAAAGTAAAGTCTCTTTCATTCTCATGCATTAACCTTCATGGATCATACAGTCCACATTCCACCATATATTTCGAGCATTTCACAGCTAATCTATCACTATCTCTCCTATGGAGTTAATCCAAATTATCCCTTGCATTATCTAAGTCGCCATCCATAACGAAGTTCATATCTCACACATCACCAAAATCCCTTTCATGTTCTCATTCACCAAATCCATAATTTCCCTAAAGAAAGTAAGCTGACCCGTGTTAGGAAAGTACACATTGACAAATGCATACATAACGTTGTTAACCTTACCAAGCCACACTATGTACCTCCCATCATCATCCGTCATTATCTTTTCTGTAGAATTGGCCACACTACTGCAAAAAAAAATGGAAGTACCTCTAGACTTAGTTTTGTAAGTGCAATGAAATTGAGAAGGGAATAACCGTGTCATAAATTTGTACTCTTTTCCTTCCTTAAGATGAGTCTCTTGAATACAGACAATATCTTATTTGTTGGATTTGACTTCTTTGAACAATAGTCGCCTCTTGTGAGCGGTGTTCAGGTCCCTCACATTAAATGACTGAGTTTAATGACCATGACTCAAATCAGAGTACACAGCCATTAAAAAGAGATTGTATAGAAATGTGGGAGCCCGAAGGCCCGCGTCCCAAGAGAAGAGTTATGAAATCCAACAATCGTAACAACAAATACATTTGTTTAGACAAGAGTGAGCGTGCTAAAACATTAGTAAATGGATGGGATAAAAAATAAAAATAAAAAATGGGGAATAATAAACTTGGATAAATTCCCCTATACGGGGAAAGAAAAAAAAATATGTTTAGAAAAAGGGCCATGAGGGAGAATAAAAAATAATTCTCCTTCTCAGGGTATTAGGCCCCGGTTGGAAGGAGAGAAAACTGCCTGCGGCAAGGGGAAACAATCAGAGCTTTAAAGAAAAATTACAAATGAAAAGTGGTATGCAGAGAAGATCAATAAAGAATGGAGCCCTTCTAGTTCTGTGATCACATCTCTAATGAAGTCAGATATATGCTCAGTATGTCCCAGGCCTATATCAGAAATCAGTAATATACATTCAAAAAAAGTCATTGACCTGTAGACATTTAACCAAGTGTTGATGCACAATAAAGAGCATAAAGAATGTGGAACCAAAAAATGGAGAGAGAGGGGGGGGAAAAAAAGGGAAAGAGAAAAAACAATTTGTAAGTAATAAAATGGATGTAATAAAACAACGTGGAGAAAGTAATAAATCCAAACCGGCAATATGTATGTTGGAGCTTTTGTGCCTTCAAAAAATTAAAAGAAAGTAGCTTCAAGTGTCATCCGCCCTACTTTTCTTGTGGGTGTGTCTTGGAGTAGACGGTGAGGTTACGTGAGGTTGGGTTTGACGTCTGTTCATGGTATTAAGAAGCTCCATCCCTTCCTCAGGAGAAGTGATTGTGAAATTTCTGCCATCCATATGAAAGAGTAGTTTTACAGGGAATCCCCATCTGTAACAAATCTCTCTTTGTCTCAGCTCTGTCGTGAAGGGTTGAAATTCTCTGCGGCGTCTCATAGTGTAGGCTGAGAAATCTTGGAAAACTTTGATATATAATTATAATCCACAGGGAGACCTGATTTGCGAATAGTGCTCAGGATTTCCTGTTTTATATGAAAAAAGCGTAGTCTCACTATGGTGTCTTTTGGAGCTGTTGCAGGTGCTTTGCCAGATTTAGGGAGTCTGTGGCTATGATCCACTATTAGATCTAAATCAGTAGCTTTGGGTAAAATTGTTTTAACCATTTTTTGGAAATAATGTATCAAGTCCGAGGTGTCCACATTATCAGGTATCCTCCTGATTCTCAAATTGTTACGCCTGCTCCTGTCTTCAGAAATCTGCCATTTTTTCCGCTTGCAGGTTGACCTGTTTCTGAAGTTCCTTCACAGTGTTAACCAGATCTAAATGTGATTGTTCTTGCACCTGCATTCTGTATTCAACATCTTCTGTACGTTGAACAATGTTTTCTAAAACTCCGTACATGGTGTCAAAATCTTTTCTAAAGTCATTCTTTAAATCCACTCTCAAATTTTGTATAAGTTGAATAATCATACCAGCAGAAGGTGGTAAATCCTCTGCCATTTCAAGCGGCATATTAGGATTGTAGGTCATGGTTTTGAATCCTGAAGAAGCCATCTTGGATGTGGCAGTTTCCATGTTAGAAGTGGCAGTGGCCATCTTGGTGGTGGCAGTGGTTACATGTACAGTGGTAGACATCTTGGGTGTGGTAAAATCATTAAAAGAAGTCTCATTAGTAGCCATCTTGGTAGAGGCTTCATGCCTGATGTTTTGTTGCATAGAAGGATAATAAATGGAGCCTATTTCTTCCTCCAATACATCACAGTTTATTAAATTGTCACCATCATCTACCAATTCTTTGTCTTTTAGGGAGATGGAGGGAAAGACCCCCCACGCCGGTATTCCCAGCCGTGAGACCGAGGACCTCGACGGGGAGCGAGACCTCACGCCCCCTATACCCTCCTCTGTATCCTGGCCTCTTTTGTATACCAGCGACCGGGCTGCTTTAATTATAGCGCGCGAGCGGCTGTCAGCTTCTGTCTGGGTAACTGGGCGGGCGGGTGGGATAGTTTTCACAACTCCCACCAACGTGGATTTCTGTGGTGAAATAAGCCACTGGCCAGTTTTGTTGGCAGGTGAATGGGCCTGCAGGCCTTTACTCACCCCTGCAGCTCCAGCCTCTCGCTTTTGCAGTACAGGCACGTTTTTTCAGGTTTTTTGTTTCTGCATTATTGCTAGTTGTTCAGGTGTCTCTTTCTGTGTAAAATTCTCTGTCATCCAGGCTTAATATTTTATTTATGAAACATTTATGTCCCCTTGCCTCAGGAGCTCCTCTAGAACGTGACCATCTAAGATGGAGGCCAGACTCCACCCTCCCCCACCCCCTATTTTTTTATATTTCTTTATGGTTGAATTACATCTTGATCAGTTCACTTGGATAAAATAAATTTTTAGATTTAAATAAATTGATATAAATGTTCCACGACTGAGGAAGATATTAATTAAATATTCAAGCGCTTTATGTGAAGCTGGGCACTCTTCCAGCACATATATCCCCCAAATCAGACTCATACAACAAGTCTAATTCAAAGTGAATTCCAAGTTAAAAATCAAAATAGACAAACTGAAAATAGAATAGACACAGACAATTTATCTAATGCGTCTAGTTTTGAAATTCTCTCTGAATTCCCAGTAATTTTCATTGGCAGCAACACTCTTTGAATGATTATAAAATGAAATAGTACACTATCGGTGCAGGAATAGCATTTTAAAGCAGCAACTGTATAAAAAAAGGTTTCTACTCACAGCAGGCATTGTAAGCAAATCAGACTGTGAAACACATACATCTGGGATCACATGTAACTGGTTAGGTCCTTCTGTGTGCTCCTGGAAAAGCTAAACCAAAACCAGAAAGTATTTAGGTTTCTCAGTCACAAAGAGTCAATACAACTATGCACATGTTTAAAAGTACGTATATATATATATATATATATATATATATATAGGCCTTGAAGAAGTAGGTGCACTCATGTTTTTTTTGAAAAAATAAGTGTTATTTATTGCATATAAGCAAAAATGACAAACTTTACCGATCGATGTTTCGACCCCCAACCTGGGTCTTTTTCAAGATCGAAAAAGATTGAAAAAGACCCAGGTTGGGGTCGAAATGTCGATTGGGACAGTTTGTCATTTTTGCTTGTATGCAATAAATAACACTTATTTTATTTTAAAAACCACGAGTGCACCTACTTCTTCGCGACCTATCTACTAAGCGCGGTTAGCACCAGGGTATGTAATCCATTATATAATTGTAAGGTGAGTGCCAAGCTTTTGGAGATATATATATATATAAAATCCTGTATATCTGTAAATGAGTAATGATTACCTAACATATGGTGAAAATAAATAACCTGCATAGGGCAGTCTAGGCACAAAAATCACTTTGTCTTAATGAAGTGAATTTGGTACATAATTGATTTTCTTGCAGCCTTGCTGTTGTAAATGCTGCAATTTCTAATAAATGGCAAATTGTCAGACAGACAGCCACTTGGGAATCTGCACTAAAATTGATTACATTATTGAATCTATTTGATGTCCAGGGTCAGCATGCAAATTATTTTGACCCAGGATGCTGTGTGCCTTCAATGCTTTTGTAATGCTCCTCACATGGAAGCACAAGGCAACAAAGAGGATCTAGACTACTGAGAGGAGTCTGTCCCAGAAATGGAAAAAGGAAAAAAAAAAATGGCTTAAAAAATAAAATTAAAAAAACGGGGTGGGGCAGGAAGCAGGATGAGAGAGCTCCTCAACTTGCATTTGATTTTAACAAATAAATCAAGTAAACATGTACATATATCTGTTGCATAAGCTACTTAAGACTCTGGAGCACATCTTGGACCAACACTCTCAGCTCTGTCAAGCTCTTACTGGGTCCTGAAACTACCTGCGGCCTGCTGTTTGTTTGAGGGCAAGGGTCACAGCCTATCTCTTTCTAAATAATCGACTCAAGTGCTGTCTGGGTCACATTCCCCCCCTCTGGGCCGGTGGGAGTTATCCTGGTCCCCGCTGGGTCAGTACTGCACCAACTTCCTCATACCAGTTGCCTGCCTTGCTGAATCTCTGCTGAGAAGCTAAATCGAGCCTAGAGCAAGATGGCTGCCACGCACCTGCAGAACATGAAGAGTTCGGCCCCCAAAAATCGTTGGCCCTTCTGGCGCGCCTCTCACAATGTCAGAGAAACTTGAGGCAATCTTTGTGTTGTTCCAGATGTAGCTTGAGCATCTTGCACAGAAACTGACACCTGCATCTTAGTCTGCAAGGGGAGCTTGGAGAGGAGGAGGAGGAACACCGAAGAGACCCCAACCGGGCACAGTTACCATCATACTCACCTCTACCATTGCAATTTGCCCTCATAGGCTGAGAGCCATTTGGGGTTCGACCCCCCATACACCACCCACATCTGCGAAGGACCTCTCGGCGCCCCAGGAAGCAGCAACAGAGACCCTTCCGCAGTCCCTCATCGGGGAAGGACTTGGCCTCGGACAGACACCGAGTCTGTGAAATTGTGGTGCCGGCTCTCGGACGGGCCTGGAGCTGGAGGGGCGCCTCACCTGGTCTCCTCTGCACGGCCCCCTTAAGACTGAGTTTGGATACAAGCATTAAGACCAGTGTTGGAATTGGCTGACTTTAATGCTTTTCCATGGGAGTTGAAATACCTACCAGACGCAGAGTTATGTTTTGCAGCAACAGCTGTAGTTTCTTTATTTTGTCTTTCTTATTCAAAGGTCTGATTAGTGCCGGTGGCCTCAGCGGTACAAGCTACTGTATGCGCAGTCTGATTAGTACAGTGTAATATCCATTACTATAGTCACTCATATTGTCAGAATGTTTACCTTGATTTTATCTGCATGCTTTACCACACATCTGACATAATAGTATTTGTGTTATAGTTAGCATAGTCCTGGACTAAGCTTATCCACTTACTTTCCTGATTTTAATCGCTATGTCTAACTTGCCTCCTGTCTCTACCTGCTTAGTTACAGACAATGTTTTAGACATATGTGTCTTGCCTGAATCTATTTCACCATAAAATTAGGGCTGTTATCTTGAAATGCCACACATCTATCCTGATATGTATTTTTAACTGCCTGCTATAGCTGTTGGGCATTGTGGGCTTGTCTGTAATTATCCTTAAGCACTGCAAATATAAATAAATAAATAAAATGCAGCATTTGATTGGTGCAGCATGACAATTTGTTATGCATGGACATAGTCCCAGAATGCTTCCCTATGAGGAAGCATTGCATTGGCTGAGATCATTGGGATTACATTTTATATATATATATCTTGAAAAAGACCCGCCAGGGTAGAAACATCGATTGATTTTTGTACACACCTAATGGATTAATAATACACAATTTTTTTCACTTTGATGAAGACCTGTGAGTGCATCCTGTTTTTGTATTTTTATATATATATATATATATATATATATATCTTTTTTAAATCAGTGTGGCAAAGGTTCAATAATGAAACAAAGCACAATCAAGTGATCAATAAAATATGTTTTTCTATTTATATTAAAATAAAATAATAATAATATTATATAGCACAGGCAAAAAGTAATGCCTTTAAAGACAAAATCCTCCAAGTTCAAGTATTAATTGAAGAAAATCAGGTCTTAAAGTGCAAAACACAATAACCTTAAAGTGGCACTGTCATGCTGAACTTACCTTTCTTTAATTGATTCCTCTTCTCTCCCTCTGTCAGGATCTGTTCTTCATTTCTTCCTGTCTGTTCTAGTTTTCTTTAAAACATAAGACAAAGTAGTCCCTACTTTGTCTTACGGAGGTTTCCTACGCTTGACCTGTTTTGACCAGCCCAGGAGCAAAGTGTGCTTTGTTTCCGGTGATCAAAGCAATTTTAAAAAGGAATTGTGGAGTTATCTATTAAGCGGCTGAGATGCAGCCGCGGCATGAATAGGATCGGAGTTTCATTCATTCTGTTATGACGAAATTTGGTAGTTTCGCCGGCGTTCTGTCTAAGTGGCAAGATGTTCGGGAATACCGACAGGAAGCATCGCAAGTAGTGATGTCCCGAACGGTTCGCCGAACGGTTCGCTACGGATGGCGAACATATGCGCTGTTCGGTCCGCCCCCTATTCGTCATCATTGAGTAAACTTTGACCCTGTACCTCACAGTCAGCAGACACATTCCAGCCAATCAGCAGCAGACCCTCACTCCCAGACCCTCCCATCTCCTGGACAGCTCACTAAGAATGCAGCTTCACAATGAATGTAAAATGGATGTTGTCCAGGAGGTGGGAGGGAGAGTCTGCTGCTGATTGACTGGAATGTGTCTGCTGACTGTGAGGTACAGGGTCAAAGTTTACTCAATGATGACATAGGGGGCGGACCGAACTGCGCATATGTTCGCCATCTGCGGCGAACCGTTCGGCGAACCGTTCGGGACATCACTAATCGCAAGATCACAGATCAAAGAATTGTGGGAAAATTGCTTTGATCACCGGAAACGAAGCACACTTTGCTCCTCTGCTGGTCAAAGCTGGTCAAGCATAGGAAAAATCCATAGGAAAACTAGTGCAGACAGGACGAAATGAAGAACAGATCCTGACAGAGGAATCGATTAAAAAAAGGTAAGTTCGGCATGACAGTGCCACTTTAATGTGTTCTACTGATTTCCAAGTACGTAGATGATGGCTCCAGGAATAAATTAATAAAATTGACCATGGGCATTTTTATTTCTGGGACAACTGGAATCCCTAAAACATTACTGTCTTTTAGACAAGACGTCCGTGTAGAACTAGCATTGTTCTTTGTAACCATATTGTCTATAGAAATTCCCCTGAAATAAAGAAACACTTTGTGAAAAAGATCAAATCTTAATTAGCTGCAAATTAGATGGCTATTAAACCCATGGATTACCATAAACCTGTGGACTTCCAGCATAAACTGAACTAGTGTTATCATTTTGGACAATGATGAAATCTGTAAATACAGATATTATATTCTCTGTCAAGATTGGCATATGTGATCTATCTTTTATAACTGAAATGAAAACATATATAAAGATCTACATACAAATGGATATAAACATATGCAAATTGTTTTATATAAATAAATTAACTTTTTTTTTAAAGCATGGCTCCAAGCACCATAACAACTGCAGCACAATGTAAAGGTTATGGTGCCAAGAGTGCCAAAGTTCACCCTCATGTAAGTAATCAAACCATTTTGGAACGTCTTACTTCGGATCACTGCGTATCACTTCACACATCCACTATCTCAGCCAGGGAGCTGGAAGCAAAAACTTAAGAACTTCTATTAGGTATCCTGAGCTAAGCCCTGCACCACTAGACTTAGCTCAAACAGAAATCTTCCAGATATCTGGGTGAGGTAGTGGAAGTGGGAAGTGAAGTACTGCCGACCTCAGGTAAGAAGCCAAGAAGAAGTATTCTAAAATGGTTTGATTACTTACAACTGGGGTGCACTAGGGCACTCCTGGCACCAAAACAACTACAATGCATTATAGTGATTATGGTTCTTAGAGTGTTCCTCTAAACTTATAGTATACCGATTACATGTAAGCTGAAGGGGTGCTAGGAAAATCATGGTTTAGCAATGGTTTGTTATCACATTCACACAGAAAGGAGCAATATAAAGACAGTATAACAGTATACATTCAGTGTACCTTCTGCATAGGGGCTACGAGGTCAACATCGTACACCATGAATCCATCAACCCCAGCTTTAATTTCAAAAAGCTTTAACCTGGAAAAAGGCAAAACACTTGGGTCATTACTAGAAAATAATGAATGCTTTTATAAAATCCACCTTTTCTGGGAATATATTTTTGCAAATTTGGGGGAATGCCTTTATCACATTTAAAGTTAAATGATTATACTATAATCAGTATGTGACAAAATGCCACCAGGGATGTGGGTCTGCCTCTTCAAAAGTCTTCAAGCACTCCCTTCACTCACTGTTTTATTAAAATCACCAGCTAAAGTGAACATGATAATAAAATTCAAGACATTTGCAGTGCACTGCGAACTAAGTTATAAAACATTGTCTAACAGCATACTTCCCTGGGAACTGGTGGGGACTTGGTCATCTCTAGGAGGCTGGCCTCAAGCCAGTTCCCGGATTGGTGCATTCTCAGCCACCCGAGGCAATGTCCCAATCCCAGCTCAAGGTAGGAGTTAAGGGCGGTGCAAGGATGCTGTAAGGGGATGTACCCTGACCTGAACAGATGCTCACCTCAAAAGTTCACTTGACTTTAGCTCAGTTGTTTCATGCTCTCAGTGTGTTAGGCTATATTATTCCTATTATTATGACCCTTGGCTTATGTACCCTGACTGTGTTTCTAGGTTTTGCCTGTGTTTATACACTTCAGACCTATTTCTTGACCTTGGAACGGTCTTTGACCTTGCCTTTGGATTCTCCCTTTATTCCCATTGCCCCGCATCTAGAGTTCCCATCCTACCAACATGATATAAATACTACTACTAATAATTAATGTATCTTCTACTAATACTAATAATAATGTATTACTTGATTTACAGGCTTGCCTCATATAAGCAGTCAGTAAAATAAAAAAATAAGGCAGTGACACATGTATATGTATCAGTGACAGTAAATCCTGAAATAAGCTTTTGGGGATACTTGTTTAAAAAAAACTATGGCATAAATTACAATCCAGAATGACAACCATTTGATAATGATTTCTGACTTTCAGCCAGAGGGCACAGTGCATGGATTTTTGGCTAAACAAGTGAAAATGCATCTCTCCTCCCTGCTCCCCCAAAAATACATCTTCACCTGTGTGTGTCTTAACACCCCTCTTGAATTTCTTACCCCTTTTGTGCTTGTTATCTCCTCTTTTGAACGTCTTACCTCCATTAGTGCATTTTATCGCTCAATGGCTATATGGATAGCCCTGCAAGTGTTTGTTCCAATATTATGCACTAAGTCTTTCTAGTTACGTCACACTACAATCTGGGACAGAGTGGAGGAGGTGATGGGGTGGTGGTAAGGGATGACATTGAAAGAGGTAAGGGGGAAGGATAGACAATGAGAAAGTACACTATACTGAATACTAAAATTAGTTTATAAGAAAATAGCTAAAAAAGAGCTATAATATCTACTCAGATATTGGTATATTGATTAACTCAGTTTTTTCACCTTTGGAAGACATGTTAATCCTTAGGTGCTTTTTGTTCTTACCGTGTAACAGTTGCCATGACACTATGGTATTGTTCACTTTCTCTGTGCTCCGGGAGCAAGAGAGCCGCCATGCCTCCTGTAGCCAGTGCACCTCTACGATGACATGTCTGAATCAACAAATCCATGTAACTTTTAAGGAAACGTTTTTCCATATTCACATATTTGCTGCGATCAGGAAGCAAAAACTCAAGTCTGTGACCTAAAATAATTTAAAATAAAGAAATCTAATAGAAAAAAAAAAGATATTTTCCTATATGTACAAAGTATGCTTTCATCATATCCATACCAAATTTGTTCACAAAGGAAGCAGCATAATCCCAGATCCCACAGTTCAAGCCAGCTGAGTGGTCCTTCAGCTCATAAAGGATCTCCTCCATCTCAAACGAAGCCAGCACGCTCTCTATCAAGACCGTCGCTTTAATGCTTCCAAGTGGCAACTTTAACTATTCATTAGAAAATAAATAGTACGTTGTCCAATAGCATGTAGGTTATCGAACTCTTAATTTACATCTATATACATTAATTTAAAAAAAAAAAGTTACTAAAAACAGGTATCCCAATTCACAAAGACTTGAGGATATAGAACAGGACAAGACAATAATTAATGATATAAAATGTAACTGGAAGCCTGGTATGGGTAGCAGTATACTTTGATAGATACACACAGAGTGTTGGGAATTCAAAACAGCAGATAGCATTTTCAGCAGACACACAGTTTTGATATTGAGAGACAGAAATCCAACACATTCACTGCTGGTATTAAGGGATGTGTTATCTGCAGACTCACACAGTCTTATATTGGGGTACAGTTGTAATTAAATTATTCAAACCCCATCCAAAATTTGGTTTATTGTCAACATTTACTTTTGGCTGTTTGAAATGAACAAAAGCAATTGCAATAACTCAACACAACAAAATGCTTCAAGTGGTTTTCTCAAATTTAACTGAAAATGCAATTTAGAATGACTTCTCCAGTCTCAAAGTTATTCAACCCCCTGAATAGAATCTCTCACAACAGCACAAACATGCCAAACAGTTGTTGTCTCAAGTACACCTCATGCAACTAATCAAGGACTTCATCAGGTGTACTTGAGCTGGAACTCTTTAAATACCTGAACTGGCTAGGAGTTTGTTGAGTGTCGTGTATGGCTGCAGAAACCACTTGAAGCAATAGTTGTGTTGAGATATTTCAATTGCTTCTCTTTGATTTGTTCATTGCAGACAGCTGAAAGTCTGTACATTTTGACAATAAACCTGATTTTCAATGGGGGTTGAATAACTTTAATTACAACTGTGTCTCGGGGCTGTAGTGTGTACATTTGTTTGCTAGGTTATGTAGTGTGTGTAGGGGAAGAAGTGTGTGTAATAAATGAAATGTGTGCATATGGGATGCAGGGGCGTCACTGGGGGTGGGGGCAGAGGGGGCCATGCCCCCTCCCCTCACATCATGCAATGCTCCCTTGTCCCCCCCTATTGAAATTGAAGCCGCTAGCCACAAGTCTCCCTTCACAAGCTGCGGCAGCAGTGCACAGAGGTGGGTGGAATTCCCATGTGTGGCCAAAGGGGGCTCTGTGCTCGGAGGAAGTTCCTGCTGGATCACAGAGAGGAGCGCAGGGGATAGACAGAAGTTCAGCTCTGTCTGGGGTAACGAGGCATCCAGGCAGCTGCTGGTAAGTGTAAGTCAGAGTGTGTGATTCAATCTGTATGTGTATGGATCATTCTCTGTGTAGGGAGATCAGTCTGTGGGGAGGAGGGGGGGGATCTGTCTGTGTCTGTATGGGTCAGTCTGTGTGTGGGAGGGTCAGTCTGTGTGTATGGGTCAGTCTGTGTGTGGGGGAGGTCAGTCTGTGTTTGTGTATGGATCAGTCTGTGTGGGGTGGGCGGGTTATTCTGTGTGTGTGTGTGTGTGTGTGGGTCAGTCTGTGTGGGGGGTCAGTATGTGTGTGTGTGTGTGTGTATGGGTCAGTCTGTGTGGGGATTCAGTCTGTGTGTGTGTGGTCAGTCTGTGTGTATGTATGGATCAGTCTTTGTGTGTGTGTGTGTGTGTGGGTCAGTCCGTGTGGGGGTTCGGTCTGTGTGTAAGGGGGGGGGGTCAGTCTATGTGTATGGGGAAATATGTGTGTGGAGGGGCAGTCTGTGTGTGTATGGGTCAGTCTGTGTGTGTGGGCAGACTGTGTGTTTGTATTGGTCAGTTTGTGTGTGGGTTCAGTCTGTGTGTGTATGGGTCAGTCTCTGTGTGGGGGGCATCTGTGCGTGTATGGGTCAGAGTGTGTGTGTTGGGGGGTCAGTCTGTGGAGGGGGCATCTGTGTGTGTATGGGTCAGTTTGTGTGTGTATATGGGGCAGTCTGTGTAGAAGAACTGCCTGTGTTTATATGGGTCAACCTGTTGGGGAGGAGGGTGATACGTCTGTGTGTGTGGGGATCAGTCTGTGTGTGTATGACTCAGTCTGTGTGTGTGTGTGTATGGGTCAGACTGGCTCAGTCATCGTGTGCGTGGGAGGGTCAGTCTGTGGGTTTGTATGGGTCAGTCTGGATTTGTACGGGTCAGTCTGTGTAAGTGCCTGAGCTCCAAGAGAGAGATACCTCTCATCTCGTGACCTCCCCTGTCCCCAACGGATAGGCAGCCTTCTCAACCACCATTGTGCCACCTCCTCCCTGCAAGATAAGCTCAGGGAAAGGGGAATATTCTTCTTCTTTGTTTTAACTCTTATTAAAGAACACAGTACACCCTCACATGAACCCCCTACATAAAGAACACTCCCACCCACACAGAGTACACCCCTCACACACTTCATCCCACACATCATCTCTTCATCCACATACACACGTCAATCCCAAGTACATTCACACACACACATACTTCATACCATTACACACTACAGCTCCTTGATAAGCACACAATGCACCCAATGCAACCCTAATACACATACACTCACACTGCAGTCCCTAGATGGACACGCACACACCTTACAGGTCCTCTCAGCACACACAATCTCAAAAGCTCCTATAACTTAGCATGTGCTCACACTACAGCCCCTACAGATCAGGTAAGCCTACAGATCAGGTAAGTGAGGCGTGGGGGGAGAGGCAGCCTACAGAATAGGTAAGTGAGGGATGGGGAGACAGCATACAGATCAGGTAAGTGAGGGATGGAGGGGCAGCCTACAGGAAGGGTCAGCAAGAAGAAGGAAGGGTCAGCAATGAACAGGAAGGGTCAGGGAGTAGGAAGGGTCAGCAAGGAGCTGGAAAGGACAGCAATGAGCAGAAAGGGATGGTAGGAGCACAAAGGTAAAGGAGCAGAAAGAATCAGGAGCACAAAGGCAAACTAAGAGAAGGAGCAGAAAGGAGAAGGAACAGAATTGATCAGGAAGGGGCAGCAAGAAGCAGGACAGGTCAGCAAGAAGCAGGAAGGGTCAGGGAGTAGGAAGGGTCAGCAAGGAGCTGGAAAGGACAGCAAGGAGCAGAAAGGGACGGTAGGAGCACAAAGGTAAAGGAGCAGAAAGAATCAGGACCACAAAGGCAAACTAAGAGAAGGAGCAGAAAGGAGAAGGAACAGAATTGATCAGGAAGGGGCAGCAAGGAGCAGGAAGGGTCAGCAAGTAGCAGGAAAGGTCTGCAGGGGGCATGAGGGATCGGCAAGGAGCAGGAAGGGGCAACAAGAAGCAGAAAGGGGCAGCAAGGAGCAGAAAGGGTCTGCAAGGAGCAAAAAGGGGCAGGAAGGGACAGAAGGAGCACAAAGGTAAAGGAGCAGAAAGAATCAGAAGGAGGACAAATGTAAAGTAGGAGAAGGAGCAGAAAGGGGCAGCATGGAGCTGGAAGGGGTAGAAGGAGTGCAAAGGTAAAGTAGAGAAGGAGCAGAAAGGAATACAAATTAGCAGGAAGGGTCAGCAATGAGCAGAAAGGGGCAGCAGGAGCAGGAAGGGACAGAAGGAGCACAAAAGGTAAAAGATCAGAAAGAATCAGAAGGAGCACAAAGGTAAAGTAGGAGGTCCGCAATTCCATAAACGCATCAGGGGCGCACCCGGAAGTACTCTGGAGGTTGAACCCGGAAGTATGTAATTGAATGCAGATTGGGCTAATTGCTTCACGCCAACACCAGACGGATTTAAGGAGAGTATCGGCACAGTACATCTTAAGCCTGCATGTGAAGGAAATCCTGCTATATTCCCCTGAGGAAGTTCAATAGAACAAAACGCGTAGGGCTTTGTTCTTATGTACAGAGTATATATTTTATTATTTTCTTTCATTTATTTATTTAATGTTACCTGGTTTTCCTGCCCTTTTGGACCTTGGGACCAGAACACTTTTTCAACATATTTTGATGTGCCTGTTTAATGTCAAATACACTTAGAATAATGGATTGTGTATGTGTATGTGCATATAAATGTACTTAGTTTATATATATATATAAATATATATATGATCTAAGTACTTTTATTAACTTTGTTAAACTTTTGTGCAGGCGTGAAGGGGACAGCCTGAAAGCTCAGGCACACCCCCTGCAGGCACTACACAAGCCGGCTATTCCGGCCATGTGATCTCTAGGACCCCGCGATCACGTGAGCCATGCGGGGGGCTGGATCAGCTGCAGGGGGGCTGCCTGGGATGCCAGGCAAGTCCCCACAATGTTATGGGCAAATGCAAATATTACAAGTTTTAGATTGAAATGTATTTCTTAAACTGTGTACTTTGTCTTTAAGAGATATTGCAAATTGACAAGGTGTTAGAAATGGAACATATTGTTTTTCATAGATGTTTCTTTAAGCAATAACCTCGGTGCATAATATGTTTGCGCCATTTTGTCCCAGACGAATTACAATAACGATTATGCATAAACAAGCTTCAAGGCTATACTACGACTCTTTCAGTACACAATATACTGTTGTAACCCCAAGTTAATGGAACTTCCCCAAATCCGGGAATCTCCCACGACTGTGCACTTACGACATAGTATAAACAACAGATAAGCTATTCAGACTTTAAGATGCCATCTTGAACTAAGTCAGGAAAATTTCCATGACATATGCACCCTTTAGTCATGGCCTTTTATGTTTGCCAAATTAAGGGAGGTCCTAAAATGAATAAAGTAAAATAAGTATTACTTTTTCATATATGAACTATGGTAACCCTAAAATGGAGACACCTAAGGTATAAATAGGTGTACTTTTAAATGTTAAGACACAGAGGAGAGACTTGGAGACAGACGCTGCTCCATCTTAAAATGACAGAGAGGCTGACATAATGACATGTTCAGAAGGGTATGTTAACCTATTAATGATATTTGCAAGCATTTAATTTAATCTTATAAACTCTGATATAATGGATTTTATATGTCTATATTTATATTTTTATATGATAAATATCTAAAAGACAAAACTATTGCTTCCAAGACAATCCTTATTTTATATTGTATTCTCAATTATTTATATATGTTAAATAGAGGATCTCTTACTAACTATATAAAATTATGGCTAAGATATCTGTATGGTTAGCCCTACTAAGTTCTATGCTTTAAGACATTATAGTGGTAAATAAGGGAACCACCTGCGGTTACAACATCGCGATCACCGGCGGGGTATCACCAGCGATCAGGTAAGTGCAGATTTGGGATCAGACGTACCATATACATCCGCGGTCGTTAACAACCATTTTTTGTCGGACGTACCTGATAGGTCCGAGGTCGGGAAGGTGGTAATAAATAGATAAAATTTGTATCTTGTAATACCTTTTTTATTGGACTAATACGGCTACAATCTCTATGGACTAATACGGATACAATATCTACTTATATATGTGTACTCACACATATATACACGTTTATAACTGCCCCCCTACTTTTGTCCCTGGCTTCTCATGTGCCCCCCCTATATATGAATCCTGGAGACGCCACTGATGGAATGAAGTGTGTGTATAAGAGATGTAGTGTGTATAAAGTAAAGTAGTGTGTGTAGGGTCTAAAGTGATTGTATAGAGGATATAGCCTGTGTGTGAATGTGTGCAGTGGTATATGGACTGCATTGTGGGTGGTGAAATAGGGTCTTTAAGTAGCATGTGCCCAATCTGGAGGTGAGTGGAGGAGCAATACAATATAAATGCAATAAACCCGCCTCCACATGCATCTTACCTTTGTCCTTGGAGGGGGAATATGCATTGCCCTGGTGGCCCAATTGAGAAACTCTAGTCTGCACCTCTGCTGGGTACAGATTGAAGAATGCATGCCACTCCAAACTCCTGCATTCTATGACATGAGAACTTTGGCGAGGTAACCCACAACAATGATCTAAGTGGCCTGAGCTCACAGGAGGTATATACTCAGTCAATATCCAGCAGAGGTGCAGATTAGAGACCCACCATGTTCCACCATGGTATATGCACTTGGTCTGTGTGTATATCTGTATAATAAAGATATACACATTGTTACATACAGAGTTACATAATCTGAGAAAAACACACACTTTTACACAGATAAAGTTTGTGCTTTTGATGTAAAAGATGCATGCATACGTGTCACTTGTGCAAATTACATACACTTCTTCAACAAATTAATGTTACATTCATTTGGGGGAGATTTGTGGACTAAACTCACCTTTTCCTCAGTCCATACAAATATTTTATTCCAAAGTCTGGCTTCTAGAAAACTTTCCACCTAAGGAAAATTATGAGTTAATATAAAATAATGGAAGCAACTAAGTTTTATCAAAAATAAATGTCATAATCAGGAGTGCAGCAAAACTCATAATCACAGTCAACCCCTTGGGCCATCAGAAACCCTGGGCTCCATAAGAATCTCTATAATTATCTGATTAGCTTCTAGCAGTAACTTACAAAATGACACCAGAGGATTCTGGTAACCATATTGAACACTGGATGTGAAGTTAAGCCGATTTAGGCTTTAATTTAATATTTTTGGATAAAGTTTTAAAATGATTTAATATATCTGGATATACTTTTTAAATTATTTAAAATATTTCAATATATATTTCTTGACATACTGATTTTTATTTAAATATCATAGATTTTTTGGATCTTTTAATATTTTGAAAAAATTATTTTGAAAGTTTAAATAAACATATGAAATCTTTTAAAAAGCTTATCCAACATTAATAATTGGAGATGTTAGTGTGACGGTTTTTAAAATCTGAAGCTCTCGCTCATGCAATAAATACTCTTTCATGTCAACCTCTTCATTGCGAACAGCTTATTCATTATTAATAGTATTTATATAGCACCAACATTATTCACATTGCTTTACAATGGGACCATTTAACAATAAGTAATAGTAATATACACAAATAAAGTGGATGGACGCAAGAGGTGAGGAAGGCCGTGTCCAAATTAAATATTTGAACAATAAAAATACACTGAACTTCATTCTACAAAAATCGATGATTTATATACACATATGTATTACTTTCCAACAATATATTGACATACATTTGTGCCATTATTTTGGTTTTCCCTGTAGTATGGCTAAGGAATCCAATTAAAACTTTACGTGTGATACCATCCAGAGCCAGATTATATACATGGATTGCATGAGGATTGTATTATAAAGACTTCTGGTTCTAAACCATATCACTATTTAATGAACATTTTTGATCATTAACATTGATACACGTAAATACCTTAGATAAATAGAAGAAAGGACCACTTTCACTTTCATAAAGTTGTCTTCCAGCATGATACATTAGCAAACCATAATCAAACAGTGGTCCTGGGATTTCTCTGCCATTTATCTGTAAAATAAATTAGGATTTTTTTTAATTATACCTTTGCACAATTGATAATAGAATTATAAAGGAATGTGCTGCCTGACTTGTTTCATCACTAATATTATTCTCCAAAGATGAAATTCAACCAGTTCTAAATTGTCTACTAACATACCACAATGGGGAAGCACCTCACATATTGTGCTGAATCTTTGTGTTGAATACACACTATAATAGTTGCTGATTTATTTATTTGATACTTAACAGCCTGGGAAATGATCTACTGTCAAATCAGGGTTTTGTTCATAGACTTGTAATGGGCATAAGAGGTTTGAGATCCAGACCCTCTCCCATAATGCGATTCCACCTTCTCAGCACCTGGAACTAGTGTACCAACACATGTATGCTATAATTATCTTCTTAGCAGGTAGACCTTTAGCAGGATCACACTGAGCAACTAGTAGCTCCTTTTCCCATTTACAACAATCACCAGCAAGACAAAGTCTAGCGCAATAAGAGGTGGCTTTCTCGAGGACCTTAGCACAGGTACAGAAATGAAAGAGAGCTTTTTTTTATCTCAAGAATATCTAAAAGTAAGTCTTGATTGCTCTTTGCATAATTCTAAACTTTTTTCTATTTTCATGAGTGTAATTGCTGAACTACAGATGCAGCTAAGACATAAGTCAGAGTCGAAGTATCAGACAGACATCTGTGGTGGAATTATTTTAACTTCACAAAGAACATAAAAATATATATTTTTTAATATTGGTTTCATTTGTCATGTTTATTTTGAAGGAAAAATATAGTTGTGTGCTTCAATTGTTATGCCTAGAAAATTGTATTATAAGTGCATACACTTAAGTTGTAGCCTCAAAGTCAGCAGTTGTTGAGGTTAAATGTTCAAGGATCAGCAGCCAGCAATAACTATAGTTATGAGTAGTAGCACAACATTGCAAGAGTCTAGCAGACTTTGCAACTGCTTTCATTCAATGCTACTTTTTCATCCAACAAATCCCTGCATGTCTATATAATACTCTTCAATACAATAGTTTCAGAGCATCAGATATCCATTACCAGCATGTTGTGTTCCACCATGTTCCATGCTCTTGGCCTAAGCATTAATACGGGGGCTTTGGAAAGTGGGGGGATTCCTGGAAGAAATTATAGATCAAGGACATTTTCAGTCATCATTAAAGTGGTTTTTAAGACTTACCTTGAATTAATATTGTTCTGCTTGGTTCAGGGGGTTTCAATATTAGTTTTAGTAATTGCTATGAGCTCATTAACAAAGGGGAACTAAAGTTTTTAGTGACCAAACTTTGATATAATATTCCGAGATGGCCACCTCCACAATGATAATGTGAATTGTTAATTGCTGACAATTTAATACAATTTGTTTATATTAAAAAATAACATATCAGCATATTGAGGACAAATAGATAGACCTTAAAAAACAAAACTAAGTCATACATGTCTAACAACTCCAGGCACCACCTTAATTTTAGTATTAGTTGTAGTGCCAATTTATAACAATTAAATCATGACATGATCCGGGAACAGTGCTTCTCAAATTAGGTTACTGTCTTAAGCAAATTGAGCTATAATTACACAAAAGGGTAAAAGACACAGTAGAGATTGGAGAGGGGATAGGAGGACAATGCAGGTAAAGAAAGTGAGGTCAACAAAACAGTAGGGAAAGGAATAAAGTTATAGGGAAAGGGACAGCGCTGACAACACCCGCTAGAAATAATATATTGGGAGGCAGCTAACCCCAAAAGTGGGGATCCCTCTTCCCCGCTCGTGGTTTTTACTTTTGTTTAGAGGATTGAAGTTGTTGCTTGATATTGTGTCGTAAAGAAGAAGGGTTAAATTAAGTTTCAAAGGTCTGGTAAAGGGGAAAGTTTAGTAGGGAGGGAGAAGGTATTCCATAAGATTTCAAGCAACCCAACATTTCTGCAAAGAAGGGTGTGTGTGACCAAATGGACCAAAGGGGCCTGAACTTATGCAAACGTACTGTCCTGTGCTATCATGTAAGGTGTTGGGGTTTAAATATGGGCTTGAATGTGCATGAATATAATAGACAAGAATTAACACACCCGATCAGATGGCACAGCTCTAGAAAAGCGGTTGCCTGTTCTTCTCCTTTATTTTACATGAATAGTACATATTGCTGGTAGTGTATACATAATAGTATACTAAACATCTGCCTATGATCTTGGTTAGTGTAATTGACATTAAATGGAAGGAGAGGACCCCAGGCATAATATTGTCCAGAACCTCTCCAACATACCTGGAACCTTGTTGTACACTACTTGGTAAATATTAAATATTCCTTTGATTTGATTGAAGTATGTTGGGCAATTGCCATCATCAAAATCAACCTAAATGGAACATTCTTTTTTATTAGTAACTCTTAGAAAACATTAACTAGTAAGTCAAGGAAAACAAATATGTTAGTTCAAATTGTCAATTTATATCATCTTACATTCAGATTCAAGATATTTTATCTGTTACTTAAAAAGCCTGCAGGCTGGGTTTGGCTACTTTGCAAAAAGGGGCAACTGAACCATAGCCTCTTTCTAATTATAACTTGAAAAAAGTGAAATTATAAAGTGACATTTTCTCAAAAAAATTAATACACATAATTTAAAAAATATAATTTTTTTATGTATACATGTACACATACATATATAAATATATATGTACCGTATATACTCGAGTATAAGCCAATTTTTTCAGCACATTTTTTATGCTGAAAAATCCCCCCTCGGCTTATACTCGAGTGAGGGTCTGTATTATGGCAACTTACAAGCCTGGCGGTCCTGGGAAGCTCTTACTTACCTTCCCAGCAGCTCCCTTCAGCTACCCTGTCTAAATCTCGCAAGTCCGTGGCCGTTAGAGTGTTGCCACGGAGACCGCGAGATTTACACAGGGAAGCTGCTGGGAAGGTAAGTAAGAGATTCTGCAGGCCCCCCTCTGCACAGTACATGCCACCGGATCACCAGGTATTGACATATCCCCCTTCCCTGGCCAAGTATGAAGCAGGGAGGGGGGACTAAAAAAAAAAAAGTTCACAAATTAAATATTTAAATAATAATTAAAAATATTTAAATAATAAAAAAACCCTCCCCCACCCAGTTTACACACACTACACAAACACACATTGCATTCATTATATACATACACTGCACACACACGCACTCTGCATTCATTATATACACACACTATACAAACACTGCATTCACTATACACACACTACACAAACACACACACTCTGCATTCATTATATACACACACTATACGAACACACTGCATTCACTATACACTCACTACACAAACACACACTCTGCATTCATTATATTCACACAGTACACACACACTCTGCATTCATTATATACACACACTATACAAACACACTTCATTCACTATACACACACTACACAAACACACACACACACTCTGCATTCATTATCTACACAAACATACACACTGCATTCATTATATACACACACTGTAAATAAATATTCAAAAACATTTAACCTACTGATGCCTCAATTAATGCAATTTTATTTGTATCAATTTTTTATTTGAAATTTACCATTTCCCACCCTAGTTTCAAACATGGAACCCCGCAGACAGGGTCAAAAGATTAACACATACAGTTGCTATACTTTTGGTTTCCAAGAAGAATAAAAGCTGTAATATATACCCCAAAATCTGTCTCTTACTTTATATGAAATGGATGGGACTATGAAAAGTTTCTCTTTATTTTTTTTAGACATACTTGAATGCCTTGTGCAGAAGATAGCAAAGCTCTGTGAAACCGTTCAGTATGACATGGTGCTGTGTCCCCAATATCCACATGTCTGTTCAATAATCTTCTAGGAACCGGAGACACCTTCCAACTTAGGTCATTTCTAATGTGTGAATTTTCCGATGAATAATTAGGGTAACTATTTGTCATATCAAGTTGAACTTTCCGAGCAGATCTATGCCACAAAATCTGAAAGCAGTCAATGTTATAAAATTATCATTTTTCAAATTCGAGTTTTATGAAAACCACTAAAGCAAAAATAGATATTAGTTGGTATGCATTTTGTTTCATAAGCCATCATACAATCCTGACAAATACCCATCTGATGAGCCTTCTGTAGTGAACAAATACGAGCCATGGTGATGGAAGGTTTGTGAGTGTTTGTACCACACAATAGGTGTACACAACAGATGTTTGGCTGTGACCTATAATTTAATAATCTACTCCTTCCATCCCACAGTCTTACGTTAACTATAAAACAATGCCTCACCCTTTTAATCTTCCATTTCTTCCCAGTATCCACTAATCCACATGTCCTTAGAATATCCCCTTCTTCATTTAGAGGTTCCTTCTAACGGGTTTTCTTAACACTTTCTACCACACACAAAGTGAAACTATAAACCAAGAATACTGCTATTGTGATCATTGTAAAGAGGAGCTATTTGTTAAAGCATGGAATGCCGATACCTATGTCTATAAATAAAATCTTGTACAAGATACGCAAAGTAATACAAGGCACGCAGTGAATATATACAGATTAAACATTACAATTAACAAAATGACTAATGCTTAATCAGAAATGTAAGAAGGACAACAGAAATGACTGACCTTTCATAAATAAGAATTAGAACACAAGGAAGTAAATTAATGAATATTCTTTTCATAGGAAAACGTAAACTGACCTCTGAAAAGAGCAGCAGTTTCCAAAATTACTATGGGTATCAACGCCACCAAACACTAATATTGCTAATGTGAAAATGTAAATTCTACATTAGCAATACAACAAGTAAGGGGCAGAGATGGCTGGGTAACCCTCTTTTCTTCTTTCTGAACCTAGGTAGGAGGAGGAATTAATTGGCCCTCTTCACCTCTTGGTTAAGTTAACATAATTTTGTTTGTCGATGACCAGTTGATTTCTATATACCCATTGTAAAGCTGTAAAGTAAAGTATTGAGGTTTTTCGTATGTTCAAATATGTCGCTGACAGAACGTATAAATACAACAATATACACTTTGAGCTGGATTCTGTCTGGAGTTAAGTAAAGGTTTACTTTTTACTTACTGAGTAATACTTCCTCTATTGAAGTGTATAGAAAAATGGTGGTTCCATAAGCAGAGTAAACATTTACTCTACTAATAGAATGCAGCCCTTAAAGGACCACTATAGGGACCCAGACCACTTCAGCTCAATGAAGTGGTCTGGGTGCCAGGTCCATCTAGGGTTAACCCTGCAGCTGTAAACATAGCAGTTTTAGTGAAACTGCTATGTTTATATTAGGGTTAATCCAGCCTCTAGTGGCTCTATCACTGACAGCCGCTAGAGGCTCTTCCGCGCTTCTCCCTGTGATTTTCCCAGTGAGAAGACGCTGCCGTCCATAGGAAAGCATTGAGTAATGCTTTCCTATGGACTGATTGAATGCGCGCGTGGCGGATGACGTTGGAAGAGGGAAGAGAGTCCCCAGCGCTGAGGGAGCCCGGCGCTGGAGAAAGGTAAGTGTTTAACCCCTCTTGACCCCAGCGAGAGTGGGACCCTGAGCGTGGGGGGAACCTATAAACACTATAGTGCCAGGAAAATGAGTTTGTTTTCCTGGCACTATAGTGGTCCTTTAATATGTAACATTTGAAAAGTTACATATTAAAGGACCACTGTATTGAATCATATATGAAAAATGTTTTTTTTATCTATTACGTTTTAAATATGAGTATATGCATAATTGAAAATACTGCAGTGATACTGAACAATGTTCACTGGAGAGTCTATTATATTCTGCATTTACTATTTAGTTTAAAAAAAACATACCGTAAATCATTGTTCTGAAACAATTCATTCTTTGATGTAATTCATTCCCTTAATTCATTCTTTGATGTAATCATTTTGGCATTATGTTTAAAAATGCACTTTTACAAATAAAGCAGTCTGACCTTTCACCAAAAACAGAAGTTATTTCATCACTTCCTCTACTACTAACATTGGCATGATTAAACTAACACTACAGGCAGCCACACCACTTCATCTCAATGAAGTGGTGTGGGTGCCATGTTCCCCCTGTTTTATCCCTGCAGCTGAAAACATTGTCATTCCTGCAGGAACAGCAAGGTTTTATTTTCAGGGTTAACCTACCTGGCAGTCATATTGAAAATTGTAAAACTCTGCTATTTCAATCAGATGGTTTTAGAGAGACCGTCTGACTGGTGCAGTGCAGGGCTTTGCCCTGTATTCACACAGGCCTCCCAATGCTTTCCTATGGTGCTTTCCTACTTTTTTTCCAAACAGGAAGAGCTTCCAGCGCAAATAATCTACTTTATTTAAACCTAGTGGTGCCTAGGACACTATTGCATTAGTAATGCGTACTTTTGTATTTGTATTTTTAACACTATAGTATCCTTTTAAGAATCATACCCTGCCTTGTACAAATGTGAAGATTTGTCTGCACAGGGTTGTACACAAATGTCCTAAATGTCTTATTTAAAGGCAAGGTATTGGGACATACTGTTGATGCTTTTTTACTTTTTGATATCCCGCCATTAGTTTTAATTTACCTTGTCAACATCTTGATCAAAAGTACAAGTAAGTTCAACCAGAAAATTAATAGCACCCGGTGTAAGTAGGGTATGGAATTCAAACTCCAAACCAGTAGGAGGGTCTTGTAAATCCACTTGATTCATATCTGTAGATAAAAAAAATTAACAATCACACTGACTGTGAAAAGCTGTTGCATACTATTCTCGGGTCCCCTTACAAATCCCTTAGACACACATTCACAGGAACTTGCACACACAAATTAAAGATACCAGATATTGCGTTAGGCAAAACTTAAATAAACACTGCCCACCTGCAGCCCCATAATCCCTTCATAGATCCATTCACATTCACCCAATCTCATAAACCTCTGACTAATTAATTCCATCTCTAATCACACCCTTCTATGTGAACGCAAAGTGTGCCATATGTGCCCAAACACAGCCCAATGCACAGTGTCCTCCATGTCCTTGAGTACGTCTATATTGCCATTTTGTGTGATTTTAGGTTAGCTTTCTATGTTTTGAAAAACAGATGTTTATCTTTGTATACAACCAGTCACTAAGGAAAAAAATACATTTTGTTCCTCATTTTTTAAAATTAGTATTTGTTTAAAGGACCACTATAGTGCCAGGAAAACATACTCGTTTTCCTGGCACTATAGTGCCCTGAGGGTGCCCCCACCCTCAGGGTCCCCCTCCCGCCGGGCTGGATGGAGAGGAAGGGGTTAAACTTACCTCTTTCTCCAGCGCCGGGCGGGGAGCTATCCTCCTCCTCTCCGCCTCCTCTCCTCTTCTTCGGCTGAATGCACATGCGCGGCAAGAGCTGCGCGCATTCAGCCAGTCTCATACTTCACACTGAGAAGCACGCAAGCGCCTCTAGCGGCTGTCAAGAGACAGCCACTCTGTCAAGAGACAGCCACTGGAGGCTGGATTAACCCTAACATAAACATAGCAGTTTTTTGAAACTGCTATGTTTATAGAAAAAAGGGTTAACCCTAGCTGGACCTGGCACCCAGACTACTTCATTAAGCTGAAGTGGTCTGGGTGCCTGTAGTGGTCCTTTAAGAACAGTAAAGATATATATTTTTCCTATATATGACTAGAAAATGTAGACACGATTTGGAACAAGACAATGTGGATGGATGGTGAAAGAAACAGAAATCAGTACATGGCAATCAGTATATAAAAAGCAATGCCGATTGCTTTCCTGACTCTGAGCCAGAAGGCAGGAATGGGAGCACTGTATCAATATGGTAACTAATAGCAGAAGCACCACTGGATACACATGCTACATAGCATGCCCTAGAGATTATACAGAACATGTGGGAACCAATTTGGTGACAAGCTCCAATTAAAATGGGCCACATGGCTGTTGTGAACGTGAGGACAGATAAACAGAGAGGATTTCTGTTGGGAAAGTGAGACCAGCATAAATTATGCAAGTCATCCACGCCACAGGGCCCACACCAGACCTGGCATCCTTACAGGACAACACAATCATGTGGTAGACAGGCAGAGACCTGCTGTATGTATTGCACTAAAAATCTCAGAATGGGCTACACCTATATCAGAATGAAACACAACATAGTGTAATACAGTCACAAATAGTATTGTTAACTTTAAAGAGCAATAACGTACAAGATGGACAAGGTCAAACAGTGACAATTTAATGTAAAACAGTGGAGCGCTATATACTTGTAAAGTGCAACCAAAGTGCTAAGTGCAAAATATCAATCAATCCGGTATCATTGAGGAAGCCAACAGAAGGTGAAATGTGTTTCTGGATGATACAAGGACTGTATATTGGTATTTTATAGTACATTTATTTTGTTTTAAATATTATAATAAAGTAATTTTTTAATACCATCACCGAAGTTCCTGCACTTTTCAAAGAAGGTGGTGTGGATCTAGGCTCCATGATTGTGAGTATAATTGTTAACACATATCAAGCTCTCTTCTTAAAGTAATATCACACTATTTCTACCTATTCCCTCTATCCTGAGATACACCACTAGAAAAAGGATCCACTTTAAGAATCAACACAAGAGAGGGGCAGGTCGCCTAAATGGACCAATGGCTTCACACACCAGAGCTAGTTTTATTAGCTCTGAATCATGTGAGTGTTCCATATAGGATTTCTTGTTTTATCATATGTATTAAAGTTTTACACTATTTTGTATTGATTTCCCTTTCAAGGTATACTTGCTGGCCCACTACAGACGGTTATTTCTGCCAGTTAAGTTATTACCCTTTTGATATTTTGCACTTAGCACATTTAAGCACATTGGTTGCACTTTACAAGTATATAGCGCTTCACTGTTTTACATTAAAATGTCAAACAGTCTATAGGGTTCCCTGTATTGTTGTGGCAACTGTATTCCCTCTTTCCACTTCCCAGGAGTAGCAGTGGAACACATCAAGGATCACAGGAACTCAAGCAGTGTGGATAGTAGAAAATTACATGATTTTCCGATTACATGAAGTACAGTCATGATTTTATTAAAGACACAGAGGCGAGTATTGCATATTCTTTACTGTCCACCAAAAGAAGCAAAGAATACAAAAAAGAATGGAAAAAGAATGCAGACATAGTAACATAGGCCACTCCAAGCCAAGTCCTAGTATAATAGCAGGCACCACCCTCAGATCTTCCTCTTTCTTGAAGATGCGACACACCATAACAGAAGGTTTGCAAAACAGAAAACCAGCAGACATAATCCATCAGCAAACGAAACGTAGAAATTCATAACCGAGAACACAGGACCACTTAATCGACAACAGGAAAGCAATCCAGGAAAACAATGGAACAGCTCCAACAAGATAATGCTCCTCCAAGGCAAAGAGACATTAAACAGGTCCGGATCATGCTGTGAAAACATAAAGAACAGGAGCCCAAGGGTTAAATCGGTACTATAGACCAACATCAAGGCCAGAATAACTATAGGCATTAATCTACATCCCAAAATGAACAACAGCCCATCCCAGAACTCTAAACAGGTATAATCAAAACCAAACCTCATAAATACAAAGCCGCACTTACCATACCAACTAATCCAATCACCTATAACGAACAACATGGGTGGGAAAACAGAACAAACAAAAGCTGAGAAATTGCTTCATAACGGGTGGGACAATGCTTGCCTCCATGTCTTTAATAAAATCATGACGTTACGTCATGTAATAGGAAAATCATGTCATTTTATGACAAGACACGGAGGCTCATATTGCAAGTTTAAAGCTGATCAACCGCAGAAAACACATGAGCAATAGGCTGTAAATAAAATTCACGAAACGTTGATTTCGCGTGACCAAGCAGCCATCCTCATACGCCCTCCAAACATGCACCCGATGCCATAATCGATGAGCAGAAAAAAGATTATCAAGAAGAAACGTTTAATCGGTGTGTGGAGCGCTAATAAGTGTATAAGCAGATATTTCCTTAACCCTTACTAAGAAGTTGTATAATCGATGAGGCAGAGGCTCCCCTAACAGAATGCGCTCCAAAAACAGAAATGTCGATACCCATTTGGTCCAAAATCCACTTCAACCATCGGGACAACGTAGCGCTCACAACTGGAGCAAAAGGAGGATGAAAAGACAAGAAAAGTTAGTGCACAGATGCAGAACGATGTTGCCTGGTACGATCCTCATATTTGCGTAAACATGCAAACGGACAAAAAGCCGGTTTCGAAGGGAAAGCTGGATACGATACTGACTTAATAGAAGTCTGAGAACGTCTGGAAATATTGAAAGTCACACCCTCCGGAGTGTATGATCTGTCATCAAAATCCAAAGCATGGACATCCGACACCCTTTTGCAAAAGGTGAGGCAAAAGAGACAAACCAATTTAGCCGTCAACTGGCATAACAAGAGATCCTGGTTAGAAAGCCAAGCAGAGAGAAAAGACAGAACAACAGAGACATCAAGTAGATGAATAATGCGGCCTAGGCGAACGAGAGAGATGGAAGTCGCGTAGATGTCGACATACCAAAACCACGGTGGGTCGAAGATATGGCCTACCTGTACAGATTGATCTTCGGTAAGCCCTGCCAGTGTCAAGTACAATTATTATAAGATATAAGATTAGGCAGAAAGAGGCTAAGCAAGTTATAAGAGCTTCCAAATCACACACAGAAGAGAAAATAAGGCTTTTGACACTGTTGCACATAGAAGGCTTTTCAATAAACTGCAATCTTTAAGTTTAGATTCAAATATTGTTGAATGGGTAAGGCAGTGGCTGAGTGACAGGCAACAGAGGGTTGTAGTCAATGGAGTATATTCGAAGCTTGGGCTTGTCACCAGTGGGGTACTTCAGGGATCTGTACTTGGACCCATTCTCTTTAATATTTTTATTAGTGATATTGCAGAAGGTCTTGATGGTAAGGTATGTCTTTTTGCTGATGATACTAAGATATGTAACAGGGTTGATGTTCCAGGAGGGATAAGCCAAATGGCAAATGATTTAGGTAAACTAGAGAAATGGTCAGAGTTGTGGCAACTGACATTTAATGTGGATAAGTGCAAGATAATGCATCTTGGACGTAAAAACCCAAGGGCAGAGTACAGAATATTTAATAGAGTCCTAACCTCAACATCTGAGGAAAGGGATTTAGGGGTGATTATTTCTGATGACTTAAAGGTAGGCAGACAATGTAATAGAGCAGCAGGAAATGCTAGCAGAATGCTTGGTTTGTATAGGGAGAGGTATTACCAGTAGAAAGAGGGAAGTGCTCATGCCATTATACAGAACACTGGTGAGACCTCACTTGGAGTATTGTACACAGTACTGGAGACCGTATCTTCAGAAGGATATTGATATCTTAGAGAGGGTTCAGAGAAGGGCTACTAAACTGGTTCATGGATTGCGGGATAAAACTTACCAGGAAGGTTAAAGGATCTTAACATGTATAGCTTGGAGGAAAGACGAGACAGGGGGGATATGATAGAAACATTTAAATATATAAAGGGAATCAACACAGTAAAGGAGAAGACTATATTTAAAAGAAGAAAACTACCACAACAAGAGGACATAGTCTTAAATTAGAGGGACAAAGGTTTAAAAAATAATATCAGGAAGTATTACTTTACTGAGAGGGTAGTGGATGCATGGAATAGCCTTCCAGCTGAAGTGGTAGAGGTTAACACAGTAAAGGAGTTTAAGCATGCGTGGGATAGGCATAAGGCTATCCTAACTATAAGATAATGCCAGGGACTAATGAAAGTATTTAGAAAATTGGGCAGACTTGATCTGCCAAATGGTTCTTATCTGCCGTCACATGCTATGTTTCTATGTAAATAAAGAAGTTAGGAATTCCAGAATCTCTGTCACAGGGGCTGAAACAGGATACATGTTCCTAACCAGGCACAAGCCAGCCCAAGCTCGCCAAGCTGACCCATATGACCGTCTAGTTCCGGGAGCTGCCACAACTGCATCCCCCAAAAAGCACCAGTTTGGCTCGTTGGCGTTGAACCTGATTGAGCATGTGTGGAATTATGGAGGGGGGGGGGTGCTTACAGGGGCTCCCCTTGCCAGTCTTGCAGGAAAGCGTCCACGGCCTCTGCTGTCGGGTATGGTCTCCAGTTGAAAAACCGTGGGCGTTTAGTCATGCGGCAAAAAGGTCGATAACAAAAGGACACCAGAGAGACGACATAGTTGAGAACACCTCTGTGTCCAATTTCCAGTCGCTGTTGTCCGAAAGATACTGTAAATTCCAATCCGCCTGGACATTGGGTAGGCTGGTAGATATAACGCTTGGACCACCAAGTTCCGAGCCAGATAGAACTCTGGCCAGGACCGCCGACTGGGTGCCGCCCATGAGGTTGACATACCTCACTGCCGAGATGTTGTCCATGCAGAGGCGAATCCACGACTGTGCTTGGTCACTGGCGAAGCTCCGGATTGCAAAAGAACCCATCAGAAGTTCCATCACGTTCATGTGGATCCTGGATTTGGAGTCCAACCAACGAACCCCTGTCGACACATCTTTGCAGTGAGCACCCCAACTGTGGAGACTCACATCCTAGACTATGGTGAACTCCGGTTGTGAACCAAAGATCGCCCTGCTGTTCCACGCAGATAGGTTCATGATCCACCACTCCAGTTCATCCTTCGTTTAACCATCCAGGGTGACCAGATCCGCATAAGACGCACCCTCTCGTAGATGAGCGATCTTCAACCTTTGGAGTGCCCGGTAATGGAGAGGGGCCGGGAACACCTCCTGGATAGATGAGGCCAGGAGACAAATATGCCTTGCCAAGTGATGCGGGGTAATCCGCTAACGGAGGAGCACCCTGCGAAGATCTTTGCAGATCGTGCGAATCTTGGAGGACGGAAAGCTCAACGATTCTTCCTCTGAATCCACGAGGAAACCTAGAAATTCCATACCCCTGGACGGGCTCAGACAGGATTTCTCCCAGTTGACGATGAACCCCAGTTGACATAGTAGGTTCGCGGTCCATCGCAGATGTTGCGTGAGGATGGAGCGCTCCTGAACCATGATAAGGATATCGTCCAGGTAGACCGACTGCGTAGCCAGGCCATCACTGAGCAGAGCAGCTTTGTGAAGCACCAGGGTGCAAAGGAGAGACCAAAAGGAAGACATGTAAAACGCCAAACACTGTCCTACCAACAGAATCGAAGTAGATCTCGAGAAGGTTTGGCTACGGGCACCGTCAGATATGCGTCCTTCAAATATAGTTTCACCAGTCAATCTCCGTGTAGGAGTAGGTCCCTCAGAAGGTGGATGCCCTCCATCTGAAAATGGCGGTAACCAACTATAGCATTGAATGGGTGTATGTTGATGACAGGGTGCATCTGCCCGCCTTTCTTTTCCACTAGAAATATATGACCCCTTTGGGATCCAGAGGGGCCAGTTCGATTGCCTCGTTGTCACGGAAGGCCAACAAATCCTCGTTGATCAACCTGCGGTCTCTGAGTGAGAAACAGATCGGCCAATTTCCAGGGGGCAGCAAATGCCCCAAATGCCCGGGCTAATGCCTTGTTTTATGCTGGCCACCTTTGGGCTCCACCAGGGCAGGCGGCCAGTTGTTTCCCAGGCAGGTGGAGAGGGAGCACTTTCCACTGAGCTCTCTCTGCTCAGCTCTTTTGTGCGACCCACAGTGATGCCGGGAGCCTGCATATGACATCAGTCCGGCTCCCGGCATCACTCTGCAGCTCTCTCGTTGACAACTTAGAGCGCCCGCCCACCTGCACATCTGGCCACCTACCTGCCCAGCAGCCAGGCCAGCCCCACTGGAGCCCAGGTGAAAAATCCACCCAGTTTTCCCAAAAGTAGGGAGGCTGGGTGGATTTATATTTATATAATAATAATTGTGAGTGTTGGGGGAAAATGTATGTGTTTATCAATGAGTGTGACTGTGTGTGTGTCAGTGAATGTGACTGTGTTTGTGTCAGGGAATGTGAGGAAGTGAGTGTGTGTGTGTATCAGTGAATGTGAGTGAGTGTATCAGTGAATGTGAGTGTGTGTGTTTAAGTGAATGTGAGTGAGTGTCAGTGAATGTGAGTGAGTGTGTGCGTCAGTGAATTTGAGTGAGTGTGAGGGAGTGTGTGTGTCTGCCAGTGAGTGTGTGTGTCTGTCAGTGAGTGTGTTTGTTTCATTGAAAGTGTGTGTGTGTCTGTGTGTCTGTCAGTGAGTGCCTGTGAGTGTGTGTGTCCAGTGAACGTGTCTGAGTGATTGTGCGTGTCTGTCAGTAAGTGTATGCATCTGTCAGTGAGTGTGTCTGTCAGTGAGTGTGTGCATCTGTCAGTGTGTGTTTAAATAAGGCTTCCCCAAACTCCAGCCCTCCAGATGTTGCTGAAGTACAACTCCCATGATTCTCATCCTATCTATTTAATTCATAGAATCATGAGTTGTAGTTCAGCAACATCTGGAGGGCTGGAGTTGGGGAATTCTGGTCTAAATGATTGTATGTGTGTCAGATTGTGTCAAATCAGTGAGTGTATAAGTGTGTATGTCAGTGTATCTGAGAGTGTGTGTCTGTCAGTCAAAATGTGTGTAAGTTAACTGGAAGACGAGTGGACTTGGCCGGAAGGGACAGGTACTTTTAAATTAGGGGGTGACCGAGATCTGTCATGCCTAGGGCAGTTGGGCTGACGGAGTCTGCCCCCTACACAAACATGAGAAAAAATTTGAGGTGTATGTGAACTCACCGTATGGGCTTCTTGAGCCGGTTTAGTGCTAATAGAGACCTGCCCCTAGAATACCCTTCGCACAGAGGATTGGGCCTTATTAAGGGCAGTAAATGCCCCTATCAAGCATCCCAGATCCTTAATGGAGGAATCGCCAAATAAAAAGCCCTGGGCGTCTTTACCAGCCTCAGGGAGGGCAAGATTGAACAATTTTGGCTCTATTTTAAACAGGATGGCTTCATGCCGTTCCATGGACAGGGAGGCATATACCGTCCCGGCGATGCAAATTGCTCTCTGGACAATTTCCAATTTCACTAGGGGTCTAAACACATCAAGGTGTTTGTCTTGGCACGATCTAAGTGCAGAATCCAGCCCTTTGTTAGACACTACAGGCCTAGAACACTCTGTCCTAAGTTTATTGCGGGCTGCTTTGCTGAGTGGGCGCCGTACCCAATTCTCAAGGTATCGGGCCACATGGTCCGCTGGGAGCCACTCAGCCGACCTCGGAAGGTGGAACTCATCCGGGTCGAACAAGGGCTCGCCCAATGGATCCATGAGGGCAGTCCCTGCGTCCGCGGAAGGAGAAGCCCCAAGATCGCCTCTGGACATTTCCGTCTGAGCAGAGGAAAAGAGGTCAAGGCCCAACTCAGCGGAATCCCTCTCAAGAGCCGCTCTCAGACTCCTCACCAGACCCAATTTCTGAGCCGGAGTCACTCTCTTTTTGTGCCCTCGCACATTTCCATCACCGCTCCCGTTCTGCCTGGCACGGAAAGGCTCTCTCGCGTGGATGAGACACGCTTTCTGAGCGACTGAAGGTACGCCAGTCATAGGGGTTCTGGAGGCAGAGGGGGAGTTATGCTTGGCTTTGCGTAGAGCCTTCCTGGGTGCCACACCTGAAGCATCCACTGCTAGACGGGTGTGGCGCACCGTAGAGCCAGTAAATGAAGCATCTCTCAGACAGGTGAGAAGGGCATGGGAGATAGTTTGAGACAGGGCTGATGAAATGGACCCCATGGCCGCCATAATGGCCTCCGTCACTGAGCGCTGTAGCACTAAGGCCTGCAAGTGATCACAATCAAAATTTTCCAGATAATTATACTGCCCATAATGCCACAGAAGTCCAAAAACATTATTGACTTGTAACTGGGCCTAACATGTGATTTACATGGTAATCTTATTACATGAATCCTCATAGACTGACAATGATAAAATAAAAAAGTGCATACATTTTAGTTTGTGTGTGTGCAATGTTTCTTAATACGCTTTTTGTATATATTTAGCTATTTGCGGTAGCACCACTACTTAGAAATGCATGTTCCGGGTGTGCCCCCCAATTCCACTTTTTTTCTGTGTAGATTTGGAATCCAGACCAAATTCCCATTAGGCTAAGCACCCCACCCAGCCATTATAGGTGCCCCTTTAGAGGTGACCACAGGAAAGCATAAATTCAGGAGACTCTCTGTAAAACATTTAAACAGTAGGTATTGAAATTTAGCATGTAAATCTCCCATGTTAAATTTAGTGTAGAACCCACCAATGTTGGGGTATTGTGACGTAGTGGTGGGCTTAACAAAATATGGCCATATGGTGGAACTCAATTACCCTATTTGTTTGCTGAGATAGGTGATTTTAAGAAGCCTTGTAAAATGCAAAACTGTATTGTTGTTTTGTGTGTGTGCACACTGTTCCTTAATCTGTCTTTTGAAACCTTTCTATTTGTTTGAGAGCAGCCTGATGAAACTTTAGAATTTTGCCCTCCATTACCCATCCTACTACCTCCACTAGAATGATAATCAGTACTTAGGATAGGTTTTACTACCAGCTTCACCACTATCACCTGTTATGCCAGAGGAGGCTACTACTGAGTCAAGCTATACAAACGTGTTGGATCACTGCAAAAGCATTGGTGTTGAGCAGTAGATTCTGTAGGATGGAAGATAGCTGGGGGAGAGTGTTGAGTCAACTCACCAGCTCCAGAATGAATCAATATCTCTGCAAACACCAAGAAGCAGTGTTGTTGATGAAAGAAAGTGAGGCTTGCCACATTAGCACAAGAACAGCTGTAACACAGCCAGCACCTATCACTACCAGCAGTAGAACTATTGTTAGTGCTAGGTACTGGCTGCCAGTAGACATGGCAGAGGATATGGGAATGATGATGATGATATTTCTGACTCCTTTGATAGTACCAGAGTCAACATCACAGAAACTACCCAATCCACCCTAGAACACTGTGTGTGTGTCTGAGGGTGCCGTGTGTGTGTGTGTGATAGTGTGCTGTGTGTATGTGTGTGTGATAGTGTGCTGTGAGGGTGCTGTGTGTGGGTGTGTGTGTGAGGGTGCTGTTAGTGTGCAGTGTGTGTGTGTGAGGGTGCTGTGTGTGTGTGTGAATTTGTTTGGAGTGATTGAGTGTGGGGGTGGGAGGGGATAGATTAGGAAATAGCCCCCCTCCCTTCTTACCTTTTGTCTGGGAGGGGGGATCCTTGCTGCCATCCCTGGTGGTCCTAGTGTGAGTGAACTCTAGCCTGCTCCGCGAGAGGAAGCTGCTGGCTAGAGCTGCCCGGGTCCTCTCCTGCCTCCCTCCCTGCCTGTGGGCCGGTGGGGAGATCTTTGATCTCCCCACCGGCCCATGGAGGCACACTGCAGGGCTAGCGCTTGGATAGCGCCGGCTCTGCATGAACCGACAGGTGAGATCCTGTGATCTCCCCTGCCGGCCTCGATCCATGCGTGGGCTGCGGGTATTAGGGTGTGCCCAGGCACACCCAGCACACCCTGTGCGCACGCCTATGATGCCCCTCCAGAGCATCCAGTGCTCTTAGGGGAAGTAAATGTCCTGTTTATTGGGGGTGTTGTGCAATGTAATCATACACTGCCTTTGCTGTTGACTTGTCTCTGGTGTGCTCAATAGTGGGATACCAAAGAAGAAATGTGAAACAGGGCTGTCAAAGTGTGTTGTGCATGTGTGGAGATGCTCCCTGTGGTGTTGTATGTGTTTGAAGGCTGCTTTTGAGATTACATGTGTATAGGTCAGACTCAGTGGCGTACATACCAGAGTTGCAGGGGTCGCGGCTGCGACCGGGCCCGGCCCAACAGGCGGGTGGCCGGTCGGGCAGGCAGGCAGGCGCGCGAGGGAGCACTCAGTGCTTCCTCTTCAGCTCCCTCGCGCACCGCACTGATACCGGAGCCGGAAGATGACATCATCTTCCGGCTCCGGCATCCCTACGCGGCGTGCGAGGGAGCTGAAGAGGAAGCACTGAGCTGAGTGCTCCCTCGCACGCGCGCCTGCCTGCCTGACCGGCCACCCGCTCAGGAGCCCAGCAGCACCACTGGACCCCAGGGAATCCCCCCAGCACTCCAAAAAGTAAGGAGGCTGGGGGGATTAAATAAATAAAATAAAAAAGTGTTAATGTGATTGTTAATGTGTTAGAGTGAGAGTGAGTGTTAGAGTGAGAGTGAGTGTTAGAGTGAGTGTTAGAGTGAGTGTGAGTGTTAGTGTGAGTGTTAGAGTGTGTGTGAGTGTTAGAGTGTGTGTGAGTGTTAGAGTGAGTGAGTGTTAGTGTGAGTGTTAGAGTGTGTGTGAGTGTTAGAGTGAGAGTGAGTGTTAGTGTGAGTGTTAGAGTGAGTGTTAGTGTGAGTGTGAGTGTGTGTGTCTGCTAGTGAGTGTCAGTGAGTGTGTTACTGTGTGTGTATTACTGAGTGTGTGTGTGTGTGTGTGTGTTAGTGAGTCTGTTTGATGTCTGTTTGTGAGTTTGTGTTTGTCAATGAGAGTGTATGTTTTGTAAGTGAGTGTGTATGTATGTCTGTCGCTGAGTGTGTATCTGTCAGTAAATGTGTGTGTCTGTTAGCTAGTGTGTATGCGTCTGTAAGTGAGAGTGTGTGTGTCTTCAGCACTAACCTTTCTCCAGCGCCGGACTCCCTTGGCGCTGGGGATCCCTCAGCCTCTCAGCTCCGAATGCGACTGCGCACGCATTCAAACCGCCCATAGGAAAGCATTACTCAATGCTTTCCTATGGACATTCAGTGTGCTCCTCTAGCGGCTGTCAGTGAGACAGCCACTAGAGGCTGGATTAACCCTCAGTGAAACATAGATTTCAGCTGCAGGGTTAAAACTAGAGGGACCTGACACCCAGACAACTTCATTGAGCTGATGAGATCTGGGTGTCTGTAGTGGTCCTTTAAGTGTGTGTGCATCTGCATGCACTGGCGTACATACCGCAGTCGCAGGGGTCGCAGCCCTGTAACCCCTGGGACCAGGTGCCCACCGTCGTGTGTTGCGGCCCGGCCATCTTGGGGCCCACGGATCAATTTTCGCACGGGGCCCCATGGGTCATGTGTACGCCACTGGTCAGACTATTTGTGTTTGTGGGTGTTTGTGGCTAGTGTTTAGTGTGTGTGTGTATATGTGAGTGTTGGGAGTGCAGTGTGTGTAGTGTGTTTGTTTGTGTGAGTGTGGGTGGTGTAGTGTGCATATAGGGATATAGAGTGTGTAGTGTGTTAGTGCATTGTCTGTAGTGTGTATATATGGGTTTAGAGTGTGTATAGTATGTTTTTGTGTTAATGCAGGGGCTGTAGTGTGTGTATAGGGGTTTAGAGTGTGAGTAGTGTGTTTGTGTGTTAGTGCAGGGACTGTGATGTGTGTGTATATGGGTTTATAGTGTGTTTTTGTGTTAGTGCAGGGGCTGTGGTGTGTGTTTATGGGTTTATAGTGTGTTTTTGTGTTAGTGCAGGGGCTGTGGTGTGTGTTTATGGGTTTATAGTGTGTATAGTGTGCAAGTTTGAGAGGGTGTGTGGATATAGTTAGTATACAGTAATTGAATAATAAAAAAAATAAAATAAAAAACAACCAAAAAAAAACAACACATTTTCTCCCCCTTTCCCTTATTACCTTGCAGGGGGAGAGGGAGCACGCAGATCCCTGGTGGTCCAGTGGGAGGGGGCATGCCGCAAGGTATTCCCTGGTGGTGCAGTCGGCATGTTATTTAGTCTGTACCCCGCATGGTACAGACCACGTCTCTACCTCTTGCGAGCACTGCTTTTTCAGAGCTTTGCCGCGGGTTACCATGGCAACGCTCTGATAATATCGGCGCTCATAAAAAGACAGACTACTTGCCCTGCGTGCATGGTCCATGAGAACTTCCTCTTATGGCCGGTGGTGCCCTGCATGGGCCAGCAGGGGAGATCCCTGGATCTCTCCTGCTGGCCTCGGCCAATGGCCATCACAGCCCACCAGGCATTTGCCCGGTTTGCCCAATGGCCAGTCCGGGCCTGGATTACATACATGGGGATATCCAGGCAGCAACCAATGAATATTGAACAAGTAGGTAAACAGGTACGTGGTGGTGCTTCCTTTGCCATGCTTGGAGGAGAGAGTTTCGAAAAGTCACTTAATTTCATCAGATGTTACAATGTTGAAGAAGAAACTAGAGAAGTCTAGTGGTCTGTCAGAGAACTTAAACACTGATTAATAGAGTGATCCTAGTAGCCAGCTTGCCTTTCGCTCCCTGACGGCACATGCAATAGATAAGGCATGCAATAGATTACATACATGAACATTCATTTACACAGACAGACATTCCTCCTATATACTCACACATTCATATAGATACACATATTCAACATGTACACTTACAGACACATTCCTATATACACACACACATATATACACACACTACTTTCTTTTATTGTTGTTATTTTTAAAATTTATTTTGTGCAGAAATATTTGATAAAATCCCTTGTCTACCTCCTTCATTCCCCTTTTCTGATGCCACCTGTATGCACCTTCCGTTAGGATTGACAGATATCTAACCTAATGCTCATTATTTTGCAATTGTTTAATGTTTTAAAAAAAAATAAAAAAATCTTATGATATTTTAGAATATAGCACTTTTTGTCAGGTGATTTTGAAAAGCTAAATTGCAAAATAGTGAGAAGAGGCTGGGATAACTGATAATCCCACCAAAGGAACATAACGATGGCTGTCAGAAAGGAGTGGGAAAGGGAGATGAGTGGTTTCTTCGGAGAATTCATTATACTCGAATGAAAAATTTATATAATGAAATTATACAATATAAATATTATATGAAGATATTGAAAAATGTAATGACAGTTCCTTTAAACCATATAGGACACTGAAAATGAGCCTGTTTAGACTTTTTAAATATTACATAATGTAAAAAAAAAAAAAAAAAAAGGTTATTTTTGGTAACTGTTGCATCGCACAAAATAAATTTGCATAACACATTTAAAGGTTATTAAATTGTAAGTCTTGCAATAACAATTCTTGATAACATTGTCTGTATCACAAAAGTCTGAAACAATAAACTTACCGCCTGTCCTATGGTTGTTATTACTATGGCTCAGTGGTGAGTATTTGTATTTGCTAGTGTGAAATTCAGCAGTGCAAGCAATTTCCTATCAATATTTAACAGTAATGTCCTCAGACTTTGAGCTGTAATTTCAAGCATTCCACAAAATAACAACACATGCAAACTGATAGTTCCACTAAGATATGTGAACATTCACTGGTTTTGCTGCTTACTGATTGGCTGACCTGTCTGTGGTTAGTCAGTGTCTGACTGGTGGTTACCTATTAGCTGTCACATGTAGTTGCAAGCTGGGGTTTAAGAATTCCTGATTTCTGCAGGTCGCTGCAATACCGATTACTGGTATTAGCCAGCAGACTTGGGCATCCATTCAAGCAATTTGGCTTATCTTCATAATGATGAATGGTCGAACACAAAACACACATGAGGGGAAAAAAAATTAAAACTGAACTGCTTGTTGGACAAAACTTCCTTCATGCAGTTCAGTCATTCATTTATTTGTTTGTTTGTTTGATTAAAGGACCACTATAGTGCCAGGAATTGGCCTGCCTCCTTGGCTGAGATCACCAGAATTGACAATCTAAGCCAATCCAATGCATTCCTATAGGAAACAATTGTGATTGGCTAAAGTCATCACTTCTGGTGATGTCAGCTAAGGAGGCAGATCAGGGGGTGGAGCCAGCACCAGTATACTGGAGTAAAGGTAAGAAGCACGCAGCCGCTAGAGGCGCTTGTGTGCTTCTCATTGTGATTTTCACAGTGAGAAGACGCCAGCGTCCATAGGACCACCGGGCCCATGACAACCCGTGACAGAGTAGAGCTTTCATAAAAAATAAAACACATATTACCTTTATACACTTCATAATCATAAATAAACTTCACATCATAATGCATACATAAAAAGTTATTGGAAAATAGATCAATGACAGAAGCCATTCAAAACTGATGTCCATATCGTGTCTCGTCTACCTGAGAAATCAGGGTGAGTTTCAAAATTCAAAACATCAAAATACCTGGATTGGAGAAAATGTATCTAACTATGCTTTCCTTTCAACTTCTCTTAACTTAGATTTGAAATTCATTCTGAATTCACCTTGAATCAGTAAATAATTCTGTGTGAGTGGGATATCTAAAGGACTCTCTCCTCTTGAGAATCTTATGTATATTGCTCCCTCTAGTGGACAGCCTGTATTTCTTAACAATATGAAATCTTGAAATGATAAATAATGTATTGTATGCCTAACTGGCAATTAATGTGTTATTACCATATTATTTTTAGAGCTATCTGTAAATCCCTTATTTTTATTTAGCAGGCATAGTTTATTTCAGTGCACATGCCGCACAGAGATTGTGAAAATGATTTGCAATTCTGATCATTTATATTGCTGCATAAAGTACACAATTATGTTTATGCTGTTCACATAAAGAGAATATACGAGTTTTGTCTGTGCATCCATTTTGAACAATGAATATACGTTTTTTTTAAGCAACATGTAAATGAGGTTTGCACATGCATTCAGATTCAACTTTATTATGACTGTACAATGTACATATAAGGACACTGAAACACAATTGGCCTCTGACAGTAATGCAGCAGCAATTGATAAAATACAATATTAAATGTACTCTCAGTGTAAGCTTTTGCAATCTATACCTAATACCATAATTCCCCTAGAACTTAAGAAATACAATTCTTCTTCATTGATACAAATGTTAAGCCTAATAATACATTGACATTCATAGGCGTGCGCACGATGTGTGCGAGGTGTGCTTGGGTACACCCTAATCCCAAAAATCAAAGATCTCCCTCACTGGCCCACAAACAGGGAGGGAGGCAGGAGAGGACCTCGATAAGAATCCAATAAGAATAAGTGAAAGTCATTAAACAATACAAAGTTCATCAATAAGTATTTCCTCAGAGATATATTAAATAAGATTCATTAGGTTGCTAGGAATAATCTTCAATAATGATTTTTAGCAGGTAGCAAAGTATTTGCAAAGCAAGAAACAGTTCCTAGTGATTAAGCTTGATGGTAGTTGTCCTCCATATAATTAGTAGCTTGAAGCAGAGAAGTTTTAAGCAAGCAGTAAATAGTTCATCAATAAATGAGATAGCAGAGAATAGCTGAAAGGTATACTTAAGGTTAAGGTGAGTTGTCCTCCGAGAGTTCAAAGTTATAGTCCACTTGATAATTAACAAGTATCAGTTCTCCAGTAATCCTCGTTGGCATGCAGTATCATCCATGCATTAGCTCAAAGGCTAGGACGGCTTGTCAGAGTCTTTGGAGCCGGTGTGTATACCAGGAAGTCGGTCCCACATTGTCAGAGCCTCAGGAGCCGGCGAGTATGGTGGAAGTAGGACTGCTTAAGTACAGCCAGAGCCACGTCAGAGGGGGGCGGGGTCAGCTCCGCATCGCGGAAGTGCCGAACCCGGAAGGGTTACCGCATGACACCTTCCTTAGATGCAGCAGGACGTACAGGAAGTCAGGCAGGGTAATGGTAATAATCTCATATTTTTCCACCTGCATTCCAGCAAATTTCCTACCTGCTATGGAGCTTGTCTAACAGTGAAATTCATTGAGTGAAGTTCTGTCACTGGAGAACAAGTGAGTACTCTCCTTCATGCACACGTGCGGTTCCTTACACTGCACCACCAATGAATATTTAAAGGTCCAGTTGTGTCCAATCTTGGGCAACTAATATAATCTGTGCTCTCCTTGCCTGCACCTAGGTCTTCAGTAAAAAAAAAAAAAAGGTTTTGGGTTCAGTGGAAAAAGTATTGGGCTGGAGACCCCACCAGGTGACACCCCAGACATACTGTGGTAAAAAGGGACCCTTTTACATATGGTTGTTCTTTTTTTCTTTTCTTAATTATTTATTTTATTCGTGCAAATAATTAACAGGCAAGTTTGCAAGTTTGCTCTGCCACAATAACTGAAGCAAACCAGATGATACACAGAAAGAAACAACACTATGGCATTGAAAACATTGCACATTTTTTGGGTTAAGTGAACAAGATAAACATATAACATAGCTTAACATTGTAATCTGCATGGGTATTGCTTGGATCAGTTAGTGAATAATCATGCATGGCAGACATCATTAAGTAACACAGCCTTGCTATCGACTTTGTTGTCATCTCTTAACTTAAGTGAAGGCACCGTATGTGATATTATGCAACTATAGAGATAATAACATTCTTAAAGGTTAACACTATATGTGTGCTATAAGTGTAGCTGACAACATGGCAACTCCTTTGTTTGAATGTCGCTAAACAAGCCACCTATATATAAAAGGTGAGATGAGATGTCCCAGTGATAAGGTGATAATCTGAGAGCTATGTATTAAATAACAAAAAAAAAGGGGAAAAAAAATTATACTCATGTGTGTATAGTGCTCGCTAGTTAGGTAGCCAATTAGCCGCTGGGACACAGGTCAGTTATGGTGGTATGGTATGTCATTGTAACAAGATGGTGTCCATTGTGAACATTGGGGACTCAGAGGTTAGATGCGCAGCCAATCCCCCGGTTCGGGAAGCTCCCAGGACTCCCAGTGGGGTAAGCGGTACCTCTCTTTTCTTCTCTGGGGGGTTTTGGTGCTTGGTGAGTAGTGATGTCCCGAACGGTTCGCCACGGACTCATCATTGAGTAAACTTTGACCCTGTACCTCACAGTCAGCAGACACATTCCAGCCAATCAGCAGCAGACCCTCTCTCCCAGACCCTCCCACCTCCTGGACAGCATCCATTTTACATTCATTGTGAAGTTGCATTCTTAGTGAGCTGTCCAGGAGGTGGGAGGTTCTGGGAGGGAGGGTCTGCTGCTGATTGGCTGGAATGTGTCTGCTGATTGTGAGGTACAGGGTCAAAGTTTACTCAATGATGAGTCCGCGGCGAACCGTTCGGCGAACCATTCGGGACATCACTATTGGTGAGTGTCCCGTTTGTTAGAGTGGTCGTTTGGGTCGCTCCTTGCGACCTTTGCTTGTTCCAGAGGGCCATAGCTCTTGTACTGGCCGTGTCCAGCTGCCCTCCGCCGCTTCTCCGTTGTCTTCAGCTTTGAGTAACATTGCTTTGTACATGGCCATGTGGCCGTGCCTTGCCCAGCGTGTACCTGGGTTTTGGAGCCCTGGGGCTTGCGGGGAGCCCTCCAGGTGTTTGGGCGGCGAAGCGGGCGTACATCTGTTTGGATCCCATGCTCGGAGTGGATCTGACGTGGAGCCTCTGGTGCGTGCCCCTGCTTTTCATGCAGGGTTTGAGAGGAAGGTTTGCGCTGTAGTCGCGTCCAGTAGGCCCTGCAGAGTTGGTCAAACCGGGCTTTGAAGCGCTGCCTCCAATGCTGGAGCCCTGGGTCATCAGGACATGGCTTGGTGGCCATCTTAGATGCCTCATGCTATTTGCCGCGGGACTGCAGTTCCCCCTGTGGTAGGTAAATCTGAGTCTCCAGCGGGTACCGGGATATCCCCCGCTGGTCCATAGGGGGAACAGAAGAGCTGCAATGCAGTACCAACCCAGCGTCGGGAGATCGGCCGCATCTCCCGGCAATCAGGCTGCTGTTCATGCCAGGCCTCAGATGCGGATCCTGGCAAACCGGCTTGGATTGCTTCGTGTGTGGTAATAAACTGTTCAGTATAACTTCGTTTACCCGTCGGTAGCTCATTTGATCGCATTTATGGGCTTATTTGTGTCGTTTCGTCGAGTGAAAGATTGTGCAGAGCAGGAGCTGTGCTTGTGTGCATCTGCTCA